TGAATATAATAATGATTGTATCATTATTCGTCATTTTAAAGGAAACTTTAATATAGTAGTAGTAAAGGTTTTCAACTTATAAATTGTAGTTAAGATACTAGTTTTAGACCGCGATTTCGTCCGTCCAAACTGCAGGATTAATCTCGAAGAGAAACGTGTAATGTATTAAAACAAATCTGTTAACCAGCCAACAGCGACATCTATAGTTTGTGGCAAGTGATTTAATACAAAATACAGCTGTTCTGATATGATATTGTAGAACTATATTGAATTTCAGGATAAATTATAGCTTATAACTTATTCTGATGTCTGAGCTGCCTGTATGTAAAATTTTATCAAAATCCATTCAGTATTTATAGCGTGATAGAGCAACAAACATCCATACATACGGATATATCCTGAAAAAACTATCGCATTTATAAAATTTATCGCATTTTAGGTAAGTAGGTAGATTACTTTATACTCATAAAGACGGTAGACCTTTTGTATAATTGTACATTACAACAGAAATCTACTTCTGTATAAAAAGATATAAAATACTTGAAATCTCTTGGTACATTATTTTAAGACATTAAAAAACCCTCTGACATATTTAAGTCTTGTATATTCGTACAATTAATATTTCTAATGATACGTGGTTCTGAATTGGAACAAAGAGACATATTCTGACAACACAGAACACTCACAGACAAAATTAATTATAAATTTACATTAAAAGTTATTCGTTAACAATATCATACAATAATATAAGTATAATAAATGAAATTATTCTAGAGAACTTGACTTAATAATAATTACATATATCAAGTCCTGTTTGGAACATTAAAATTCATTTATTTCAGTACTTTAAATGAATTAAATGTAAATAAATATATCTCAATGAAACCAAAACCAAGAAATGCGTAATTGTAATGCAAAGTACGAGTAAATACAATTGTGAATTGACCCAACGCGTCGCACAGATGGCGCCATGCGTGCACAGCCGTACAGGAACTCGCTTTGTAGGCTTCTATTTAGAATTAATTAACAATTACAAAACGCAACGCAAATTATTACATATAATACATTAAGTAAGATCATACCAGCTTTAAATTATAATTAAAAATAATATTTATATCCTTCGGCTCGGAAATATTGTCTGTAATTGGATTTATACAGAGTAGAACTAGATGTTTTGTTTTTTTTTTTTTTAAATTGGATGTATGGTTCTAGATCGTTATACTATATTAGTATTTGTTTAATAGTTATAATATACAAATTGGACATTTTTTAATTATACGGTAGGTATAATACAAAAAAAAAAACAACGAAACGGTTAACTTGAAATTAAGAGAACTATTTTTAATTAATCTCACTATAGGTTTGTAAAAGAAAAAATGTGTCATTCAAATTTAGAACGTTTAAAATTCTCTTTAACGTCACTTACATAATTGAACAGTTTTCTTTAATCAGCGAAACTTTTAAAAAGACTCGGACTGTACGCTTTACGTAGTGAGATTTTATTAAAAAGTTAGCAAAACCTTTTCACGCGGGTTCAAGTAACGAGCTACAAAAAAGAAACTAATGAACGAAAGCTGCGCTACTCCGCCATTGCAGTGTTTCAATGCAGTCGCGCTGTATATATGTACTAAATATCTTTGCTTACGCGCGCACATCTGTAGTCTTTATGTCCATATAAATAAGGATCACAATAAAACAAACGTATGAAATTCAAAGCGCCGTTCATAGGTAGTGAATAGGCTATGCAGCATGCCACTAGAGGCTGCGTTTTAAAACTATTTTTAGAATTCTCCATGAGACAAAAATAAAATAATGTAATTTTGTGGCTTCTCGTGTAACCAAGACGTTTATAGCTAAGTGACATCTTCGAGACGTCGTTTTAACTTTACATTGTTATTTTAAGTATTAAGTTTCATCATTTAGTCGATTTATTATAAAAAATACAATAAACTTGTTTAATAAACGTAAGGACACGTTCTAGCGTAAATGCATGTACAAATAAAATGTATTCATACAACAGAACTCATTTTCTCATGTTCTTTCTCACACAAAGACCATATGAATCTACAGATTTAAATCCAGATTTTCAGCGTACCTCGTATATATATCTGTCAATTGTTAGCGCGTCCGGCGTACACACAAAGATTTTTGCACTTTTGTACATATGTCATTGTCTCGTCATTATTTAAATATCTTTTCTGTAAATCAACAATATGCGTCACACGTGGCCCGGAGCGGGTAAGAAGAGGATGCATGAGTGCATTGTATGCACGCAGCTTGGGCGGGTGGCTAGTTATTAATAAAATCCAGTTATTATAAAGGCCCTATCGGTTAGGGCCTAGCCTAGACAGCTTTCGCCGTCTACCCAGGTGTGTAGCTCTCGTACTGGTACATTCCCACACATTGGGCCGACTGCATCGCTTTAATAACACGGAAACGATTTAATTATGCGTTTTTCGTTTTACAATTTTTTTTTATCCATACTAAGAGTGCTTCGGCTTTTGTGTTCAGCTCATTCTTTGAATTCTTAAACCTAGAATACTAATAATGAAAATTTAGTTTATAGTATTTGTTTTATTTAATTATATACATGTTAATGATAGTAATTATTGTATTCATTGATTTGTCGAATTGTAGGAAACATTTTGTTGATATACCTAATTTTGAGATTGTGTATCTATATCTTTTCCATAGTATAAGCACAAATTATATTTTAATAGTGTTGTTCATTTCCTAAAATTAAACAATAAAGCATTTAGTATTCGGTTATATTTTAACTGTAATGAGTCTTATTGTAACTAAACACGTGTTTGTTATTCAAATTTATATTTTTATCCTTAAAAGCTGGTATAAGAATTTAAGAAACATGTAAGGTATGAGTCGGATAAAAGTATCATTCCTTGATGAAAATTAAGAAAATTGCATATTTTAAATATTTTAGTAAACATCAGTAAACTCACGTTTAGGAACATCATGAAATAATCAGCGAAACTTTTATTTTATTAAAAAAAACTTTACCTATTACTTCTGATTTTATATGACGTTGCTTTTTTGATTCATCATTTTTAATTTTTATGTATACGTACTACATGAAATAATTAAAAAAATGATAAGTACATATGAGTCTGTACAAGTTTGCGTCGTAACTTAAAACTATAAAAAAGTATATTTCATAAACATCTTTACTTCATATTATGACTACAAACTTGTCTAAAACATAAGTCCTAGCTCGTCAGAAAAATAACTTTTTTTACAACCTCTCTCCTTTTATACGTCTGTCATACCTATGTAAGATTTCACCCCCTCTTGCATTTAACAAGAGTCAGTGACGTTGTAAAGTAATCTTAAAACGAAAACACTAGCGTCTAGCTAGAAGCACTAACTATTCTTAGTTATGCTTTTGTATGGGACGGGGGACTTCAAACCCCTTTTACATCTCGCTACTTCAAACTATCGCAATAAATGAGAAAAAAAACAAGCTAATGAATTAAATAAAGGTTTTATATATAGTTTTTATATTATTATTATTCAATAAAGCATTTTTTTTTACATAAGTAAAATAGTTTATGCCAAACAGCCAGGACTATGTACACAGTATATAGCCAGCTAGACAATTATTTGATCCTGAAGTACGGAGCCTTAATGACAAGACATCAAAGGAGACTAAAAGCATGACTCGTTTTATCGCTACATGTGTTTTCATCCTTATTCCTTAGGGTCTCTTCATATGGTTTTAAACCACAGTTACTATATCAGATAAAAACCAATAAACAATTGATTAATATTATCTTTATTTATAAATCTAATATCTAAACTGTTACGATGAATCTTAAATAATTAATATTTTAAACGAACAAATTAAATAATTTATTAATAGATACCAAATTTAGTTATTCTAAAATTCATAATTTTAGGACGCGACATCTGTCAAATAATGTCGAATAGTCGCGGGTGTGAAGTTTTACCGCGTTGTCACGCAGACCTCACCTATGTACTTGAAACACGACACTTGCGGCAAGTACGATGAACTAACATCATATTATACGCGTTGCAAGGGTTTCATTGCATATTTTATTTCGGTATGAGAATAAATATAAGTTACTTACTAGCAGAAATAAGTGCTATAGACGGATTAAAAGTATAACATGTTAAAACTTATAGACTTAAAGCAAAAGTTTTGGCAAAAAATTATAAAAAAAATAAAACAAATTTTTGGTTTAGCTCTGAGGTAGTAGTATAACAAATTACAAGTAAATATCTACAATCTAGGAGCTGAATCTACAAGACAATGGTCTACTTTAAACAGTCTGCAGCATAATTATATACAGCTAATACGACATGAGATGTAATTAACATTATGCAATCTGGTAATAAAAAGTCAAAATAAGTGCGTCGTAACGGTTTCAATTTACATTTAAACAATGTATTAACATTCGTAAATAATCTAGACTATTTTATAGAATATAAATGATTATTGTCAATGAGATTCGTCTTTATTTTCTGAAAATTACTTTCATTCTTAAGTATGGGTCTGAATAAGTAATATATATTTTAGTTGTTTAAAGTTTGACATGAGATTTTCAAAATAACAAAAATATTTCTCACAATTATTTTTCACAATTTTTTTGTATTATAGTTAACTAATATTAAAAACTCATATGTTATTAAATAATTTTCTGCATTATACATTGGTTTTCGAACTGAGTTCATCTGTTACTGTCTACTTTTTTGTATATAATCTATGAACAAAACTCTCAGTCATTAATATCAAGAAATGGGGCTGCTGTCAAGTTACTTTAAACAGAATTTTTTGGGTTTATTAAAGTTTTTAAACAGCATGAAATGGTTTATTATATTTTTTAGTTTAATTAATCTCTCAGTTTGTATATATGAAGACCAAATCGGCAAATTCGACTGGTAATAGCCGCTTTTAAGGTTATGCCATTTGTACGTTTTCACAGGGTCGGAGTTCAATTAATATTTAATTATTACTTTTTTAGGCGTCAAACATACGTCGGTCGTATAAAATTTGCACAGTTCGATACAGTTTCTACGGCAAAAAAAATTATAGTCGCCACCGAAGAGAATGTACTAGCAGCTCTTCATTTAAAGACTGGTAATTGATTCGACAGACGAATTACATTAATTTTAGTTTAAATAAAATGCCGGTACATTAATTTGTTACGTTTGTTTCATAATTAGTATAAAAGTTACATATACATAGTATAAATACACTGTCGTGAATTAGTTGTTGTTAAACTGTATTATTCTAGGTGAAATTGTCTGGAGACATGTATTTGAAAGTGATTCGTCGGGTAACATACGTTTGCTGCATGTGGGAGACAAGATCACCACCGTGACCGGAGATAACCCATACTTAGTCAGGGGATGGGACTCGGCCACAGGTAACAATTGGCATTAATACCTTGTTAAATTATATTCATACATATGATAATTTATGTAGCATTAAAATTTCTCTATTGAGATTACTGATATGATTAAAAGTATATTATTCTATAACAATTGGAGCTAAAAAAGAGAATGATAACGAAATTCTTGCTTTAATTTATGAAATTTATTTATCTTTAATATAAATTTGTATTTATATTACAGGTGTACTGATGTCGGAGTGGTCTCTCACGATGCAAGATGGAAGTAGAGCTGAGTTCTCCGAGTTCTGGGTACAGAATGGTTTGCTCGTACACATGGTGCCCATCTACCATTCACATATCGAAGTCACTATGTACAATTTAATGACGGGAAGCAACAGGGGTGCTACATCTAAGTTACCGGCGAGCTGGATTGATCCCGGGCAAGTTATTAGCATGTGTATCTAGATTATATTAATAATTATTTAATTCTCATTGAATTATCTTGTTTAGTAGCAAAACTTGCTCTTGTAAGTGTAATTTCATATTAAAACTATTTAAAATATAGTCATGCTTAAATGTTCAATGTTTTTAACTTATTTATTTATTTATTTCCAGTTGTCTCTTCACTGCCCCCTATTACACTTGTGTTTCGCGTGATACTCCAAGTAGAATGTTATTATCGATAAATGTCACATCGAATCCCATACAAGTGATAAGAAGATCTCTATCAAGCATCATGCAAGGTGCCCCTGGCCATTTGCGTGCATTAGACGGTAACAGCGTGATCCCTGGCTTGATAGTCGAAGACAAGAAGATAGTGCTGTTTAAGAATAACGATTTTAAAGTTTTGAACACCGATGTTCCACATTACATAGCAAGTGCGACTGTCGCTGACACTGCCAGAGGGCCTGTCGTGATGCAGATACAGAGTTCTAGAGTAAATTATAACCATTTAATTAAATGTATGGATGTATTAAGTTGACTTATAGCCAATGTAACATTTCCAGGGCTACCACCTCATAGCGCACACACTGTCTGGTGAATTAGTACCAGAAGTACACAGCCCTGATTCATTCTATGATATTGAAGAACCAGAGTTGTTAGCGGTGACTTGTGCACGTGATCAGCTGGCCTGCCGCTTGCTCATGAACACTGTTGACGAGGCTGTACATTTAGTACAACAAGGAGGTAAGATTATACATTATTAAAGTTCCTATAAACTTAAATGATTTGTTATATGTGTGAGATGTAGTACTTGACTATTGCAAAGTATTTAATATTAAATTGTTCCAAATTGAAACATCCATACAAAAACATATGTTTATTTTTGATTTTTTGTAATAAATCCTTATATCTATCCATAGGTGTAATATTATGGAGCCGTGAGGAGTCCCTGGCTAATATTAAAAGTGTGGAGTTCGTTGACCTTCCAGTGTCAGAGGCTGATGCTGCTCTTGAATCAGAGTTTGATCAGAAAGAAGGTGAGATTTGACTGACAAGTGTTGCCATATGATAATTATTAATTAAGAAATAATTATTAAAAAAAAATTAATGATAGCAACTTTAGAGATGATTCTTTAGTCTTTAAATGTTTACAAAATAATATTAAATGAAATTAAGTCATATTAAGCAGATTTCTTTGTCATTTTTACTGATACATATTTTTTTGTTTGTAGCTGCCAAGGTGTATAGTGAGTACATAGTTATATGTTGTGTGTTTAACAACTTTTTTCATATAAATGCATCTCTATACTGGTTTTTTTTCTTATTTATGTGTAATTACTGTGTGTGTTTGATATTCCTCTCATATCTATTTGATTTCTTTGTGCTCACAATTTATGATTAGATACAAGTACCTTGAAGTTCTTATTCTTCTTCTACCTGGCAATTTCCCAGCTTTAGTCAGGGTGTGCCTTACTAGTTGTGAATAGTTTTGGCTAATTGTTTTTACGACCAGCCGCCTGCCTGACATCAACTCTCTTGAAGTTCTTATTATAAAACATTAAGATCCAATGTTAGATGTAAATACCCAAGTATTATGATTAAAATATTATATCAAATGATATTTCAGTAATAACAGTGATTCAGTGTTTTATCTGAGTTTAGTACTTATTAGTTTAGTTAAGTCAGCTTTATACAGACAATAATAGAATTTAAATTTTTTATATATTAATACATATTAAATCTTGAGATTTGATTATATATGTTTTTTGCATTGTATGTATTTAAATGGCCTGTTAGTTTTTTTTTGTCCCAGCAGTCATACTTCTGACATAATCTATAGTATTTATAAAAAACTTGTAAAATGAAACAAAATAGCTTATATATTTATGATAATATTTATAACATTGAGCTAATATTTGGTCACAAGTATTTGTATGTCTTATATACATACTTTGGTTTCGGTTGAAGTGTGTGGAGTGTGATATGTTACGATGCTTCCCTCTATAATCTATATGATAATCAGATCAGCTGTTTGTTATACTTGCATGAATGCAATATCTTTTACTCTATATAAAACTGACTTATATACTGTTAGTTAGTTTTAAACTACATCCATCATTAGCCTATCGTATGCCACACTAGTTTATATATATCTTCTTCCTGGCAATTATATCAGTTTTAGCCAGGGTCTGCCACTAATATATATACAACGTGTAACATAATTAACGCACACTCTGAAAGTAGTTTGATCAGAATCGGATACTGGATCGATTTTGATAGTTTTTTATGTAGGTCATTTTTTTTCTCAAATTTAGATAGAACTAAGTAAATTATAGGCACCCTACACACAGTTATCTAAACACTTCATAGAAACGAAAATTAATGGAAACGAAAATGGATCGTAAGTCAGGGTATTAAGATTTTTAAAATGAAATATTTAATTAGTAATCATCATTCAGTTAAAGAAAACTGATACTTATTTCAAGGCTAAAATAGTATTTAATAATAACTACGCACACAACACCATAGCGACAACCGGCACACAGCAAGGTCACTACAGTGCATAAAAGAAAGCCGCGTAATACAAAAATTATTACTTTCTCCTTCTTTCTTCGGCTTAATAACATTACAATAGAGCGAGACGGCAGGCATAATTCCGGGAATCAGAGTAATAATAACTAAACATCGAAGTCAACAAAATGTGTTTTGGGTAAGTTAGTCACGCCGCGTCCACCTTATCGAAAAGAGGTCAAGTGTAAAGTGCAAATAAAATCTTAGTCGCGCATTTCGCTGTGTCGTTTCGGTACACTAACATTCAATACATCAAATACCTACGCACGTGTCCATTGACCTCCTAGATCAGCTGATTTGACGCGACTCGACTTTTTTTTGTGGGGGCGAATTAAATCGCTAGTTTATAACACAGAGATAACAAGTGCCGAGGAACTAAAAAATAAGATAATAACCGCCTTTGTAAAAGTGAAAAGTGACATTGCAGTATTATCTAAAATAAAACCACAATTGCGAAAACGGTCATTAAAGTGCATTAAACAAGGCGGTGGACATTTTGAAAATGTTTTAAAACGACAACGCCGTGCGAGTGCAAATTAAACTGTAAGTTTGCTTATGATCTTTAAATTATTGTAAATATTTTGATTCACACCATTTAAAAAGGCCGACTGTGTTTAACTTTGTCGTAGGTATTGTGGTGTCTAATCAAATCACGCGTTATCAGCTGTTTAATAATTCTTATTTACAAAATTAATTTTACAAATCAGTAATTATAAAATATTGGCTTCACATTAAAAAGAAAATTCAATGTCAACAATCTAAATCTTGAAAAGTGTGATGGAAAGAAAAATCATAATGTATGTAGTTATTTCGTGTACTTATTGTTACCTACTTCTTATTATTGTCGGACGGCACTCGGAGAGAGGGGCGCGGGCGCGGCGAGTACAGTGTCGCTGAATAGCGGACCATATTATTTGCACGAAATTGGGATAACTAATTTCACAAATAAAAAATGCAAACGCACATATAAATAATATTTGGTGTATGCATTGCGTTTATATTATTATATACGCATTGGGGTATTTGAGGGTGTGCGTTAATTACGTTACACGTTGTATATATACTAGAGGACCCGGCGAACTTCGTATCGCGCTATAATCAAGAAATATCTGTTACGTTTTTTTATTTATATTTTTGGAGTTTACCTATTAAAGCCATAAATCTTCGTGTTTTGAAGTGCGACAGAATGATTGAAATATTAATTAGTTGTCAAATCTAATGTCAAAAAAAAAGTTTGTATCAACAACTTCTAACCAATTAAAAATTAATTAAAAAATCATTGTCCAGCGGACAAAATTGTGAATCTAAACCATTCCCAGATTCCCAGATTGAACACACACAAAAACTTTCATCAAAATCGGTCCAGTCGTTTGAGATAAGTTCAGTGACATACACACTCACAGGAGAATTATATATATACACATGACCAGTATATCATGATCTCCGTCCCCAGGCTCCGTGTGGTGGTCGTTCGTGCGTCGCCTGCAATCACAGGTCCAGCAGCTACAAGTGCTGGTGGAGCGTCTCCGGAGCGGCGAGGTGTTGGAGCAAGGACCCGCCTCACTACACAGGGACTACTTCAACCTGCATAGGATCATGGTGCTCGTCACTGAAGCCGGGAAGGTAGCTCTCATATATTCTTCTTCTTCCTGGCAATCTCCCAGCTTTAGCCAGGGTCTGTCCAATATGCCCCTAATATATTATAGATTTACAATTAGTTAACAATACCATGTAAAATCTAAGATAAATGACTGTTTTCTATTGAATTGCATAAAGATGTTTTTAGTATAAGCATCAACTTTAAATTTTAATGTGTATGATACACAACAGGTTCAAATCATGAACATGTTGACTTTTTTGTATATCTATGTATTTTATATTATAGTATAAAGTCAGTTATCATTCATTATCAAGTACTCGAGTACTGTTTTTCGATATTCGATATTCGATCGTGATCAGTTTTGGATGAAAATAACTAATTAATTAATATTTTTTTATTGTGTTATTGAGCTGAAAAAAAATTACAAACAATTTCATAGAAAACAATGATATTGCTCAAACGAAGGTAGTTTAAAATGATATCTATACGTCTATGAGTGTGAGTGACAGCTATATACAGGATTCTCTCGTCACGTTATATAATATTACGTCATTAATAATGTAAAATACTTATAAAGATGATACACTTATATAGTGAAACTCAACAATTTGTACCATCGGAGCTCAAGTTATACTGGATATATCATTTCTGTCATAGTCAGGTGTATTCGTGTTTTTTGTCCTGCCCTGATCCCACTTTATATAGGGTAGGCAAAACATGTTCTTCTCTTCCACAGAACATGTTGTAAATAGTTTTAGCTATTTGTTTTTACGACCGGCCGCCTGCCTGACATCGACCCTCTTTGGGAATGCATTAATCAGTGATGTCTAAATACTCTTAGAAAGTACATATGACTAGGAAAATCACATTGCTACTTGCCCGGGCCAGGATCCAACCCGCGCCCTCGTGCATGGGAGCGAGCCTTTTAACCACTAGGCCACCACTGACTTAATTATTACATGATTTCTATTTGGATGTTACCTACTATGATGATAAATCCCATTGGTATTCATGTGTACTGTGTAATATTTTCCAGATATTCGGTATGGACAACCTGTCAGGGTCGCTGGTGTGGAATCTGTACCTGCCGACACTCTCCGGCGCGAGGACCATACTAACGAGACGAGCGGCGCGACACCCGCACACAGCCATGATCACCATAGTCGGCACACACGCGGTACACACACACACACACACACACACACACACACACACACACACACACACACACATAAATGCATACAAATGCACATACAGACGTTTGTAATTATTAATTATATAGGGTGGCAACTGGAGGTTCCAGGAAAACTACGATACATACTTATATGTATATTAAAATAAGAATTACATGTTAAAACTTAGAAACTACACCTAAGACTACATGATTGACCCGATGTTAGGATAGCAATAACATTCTTTTGCTTGTATGGTGTAAGGAATCTTCTGGTTCACACGGCTTGATGTTCGTTCCGCGGAGTCAGCGTCACTCGTTATATGATATTTTACCGATACAAAGATGTCGCCCCGGCGATGTTTATTTTTTTCCTTCATGTGTAGCCCGTACGTAACATATTTCATATCAAATAGTCTTGTTTGTTTGGATAAAGTCTAACTTGACAGCATCATTGTACTGATTATAAGGAAACGTTATCCTTACAATGAAACCATATAAAAAAATAATACAGATTAAAAATAAAAATAAAAATATTTTATTCAACTAACAAGTGTGTTTATACAGAGTAAAGAATCAATGGTGACTAGTATTATGTGAATTTCATGCCTTTACAAGGACAGCACTCTGCATGTAGGAGTTTATTTTATTTATTTATTAACACCAACAAGACATACATTATTGAACAAGTAATCATAAAATCAAAATGTTGTCTTAATTATAGGCGTTACACACATTACAAATAAAAATAGACACGTAACATGCAGATATAATTACGTTACATTAATTGCACAAAGGAAAATTTGGTCTTGCCATCACGTGGTCGGCAAACTCCGTTTAACCTCATATATAATATTTTCCAGGACACAGGCAACGGTTACATAGTGACCCTTGACCCTATCACTGGAAGGATCGTCCCCGAACACACCGTCCAACTTGACCTCGGGATACTGCAGTGTATGACGCTCCAGGAGACAGGAGACGACCAGCTGAGAGCTCTCGTTATACTGGACGAGGACGAGGCTGTGCAGGTCATTATGACACTTATTGATTTGGATATCCGGGATTTTCGGGTTGTAAAGTAGCCTATGTGTTATTCCTGGACGTCAGCTTCCTGTATACAAAATTTTATCAAAATCGCTTCAGCCGTTTGAGCGTGAAGTAACAAACATACACTCAAACTTTCGCAATTATAATATGTATTAGTAGGATGTAGATAAGGGATACATCTCTTCCTAAATGAACATTAAACTATGACAATTGTTTAGAAGTAAATTAAGTGTAAGGATTTTATAACTTAATTACGCCATAAATAAGTAATAGGTGGCGCTTTGTATACAAATACTGTTTAACCTACAAGCGAACCCTATTTAGTTTGCAATCTTCGATTAATACAATAATAGGTAGTTTATCGCTTAACAAATATCGATAACTAGCTTTTGCCGCGACTCCGTCCGCGTGGAATAGTGACTTCCGGCTGATTTTTGGTTCTTCCTACATAGTTCCCGTTCTTGCGGGGTTTTCGGAATGGTCGAGTTCCCGTAGAATCTTCAGGATAAAACCTATGTTTTTTTTTAATTCACAATGAAGTACTCTTAACCAACAACATATTTATTTGTTTATTTGAATAAAGATTAATATTATTATGTTGATACAACTTAAACAAATTATTTCGACCAAATTAGGTACCATAAAAACGGTTTTTGTGAGTTAATCTTAAAAGATAGATATATACTGTCGCGGACTGTTTTTTAGATCATTAAAAGAGCTATTATTCTTTAATACATATTTTTTGTGTATCTTGAACCGTTTACACAACGCACGCAACGGAAGGCTTCAAAGATAAAATAATTTCCCCCGTTGTTTACACATTTACCACTATATCTTTCCTCCTATTGGTCGTAGCGTGATGTTATATAGCCAACAGCCTTCCTCGATAACTGGACTATCCAACACAAAAAGAATTATTCAATTCGAACCAGTAGTTTCGGAGATTAGCGCTTTCAAACAAACAAACAAACAAACTCTTCAGCTTTATAATATTAGTATAGATTTTAAATTTGGAATGTCAATATTTTATCGAATAATCGTAATCACCTATCGATGTGTGTAATATATATTATACAGGGTGACTGGTGAATTACTATCAATATTTAAGGAGAATACTCGGTACATGATTCTCATTCGAATTATGTAAAAAAAATAGGTACTTAATTTTTGACCAAATTTCCGTATAAATAAATAAAGCGTGGACACGTTCCAAGTGTTCCAAGTGTGGACGCGTGTGGCGGCGTGCTGATACAACACTACGCCGCCACACGTGTGTGTGTGCGTGTGTGTATACCTAATCTTTAGGGTGTGCCCACGATGCGTAATTAATTACATAACTTTTGGTTAACTTTACTTAGAAGTTTATTAATATTTATGTTATATAATTTTTATTTTGTCATATATGATCGTCAAATATCACGTCTTCAAGTATCGATAGTAATTCACCAGTCACCTTGTATATATCTGTATTGTTGAATTGTATGTTTATGTTGTAGGTATACCCGCCGTCCGCCGCCTCTCTCGTACACAACGTGCACATGTATGTAGCGGACCCGGACACGGCCATCGTCAAGGGGTACGCGATCAGATATAACGGGAGGGTGAGTTACCAGTAGACTAATAGACTAGTAGACCGTCTCACAAGTAGACTTTACTCCAGCCACATTCGATCTGGAATTTTAGTAAACAAACCATGTGTCATCATAATTAGGGTTGATACACTCTTAATAAAAAATAATAATTATTATAATTATGTACAACTATATTCATTATTTCCTGTTTAAACACAAAAATTTTAATTTAATATAGAATCCAAAAATTTGATTTAGCCGGTCATACATAATTTATGTATATGAAAATTACTAATTAGCTTAAAATAAAAAGTTTAAAAATCTTTAATTACCACTATATTATTACTACAAAACTAACAACCCTATATTTTAATACTGACGTAAAGAAATCGCAGGTTTGTAACATTTAGAGTGTTTTTTAAGCAATTGGCAGATTTAGGAAGGATTTTAATCTAAATGAGTCCTGTCGTTTGGGAGGCGATAGATAAATTTAATAAAGCGAATTATCTAACTACGAGGTAATTTCTGATATCATTTTAAAATTGGAGGTATTATTTTTGAGACCTACATTATTCCAAATGATCATAAGGATTATAAACAAGGATGCGCTTAGTCCATTGTCTTAAATATTTTATTATTAATTAACAATTTTAATTTTTATTAACATCAAAAATAATAGTTGCACTTACTTCTTAAAATGTTTTGAGCATCTGCCTGACGTTGGTTGCTGAGCAACGCTTTGTTATTAAACATTCCACATCGAATTTGGCTGGAGTATAGTAGACTTGGACTATTATGTCAGACAAAGACATTGTTTCTGTAGACTACTGTTCATATGAATAGTAGGAAGTCGCCTTAAAATATTACATGTTATGACGTGTATGGTATAAGCCAGCGATCTAAATCATGATCGGTGAATCTTGTAATATTTTAGGGATATTGCAAATCCTCGTAACTACCATGCTATATTTCCGCGTATCTATATTAGAAGCAGATTGACAGAATAATGTTTGAGCTGAAATATTTTATATATTAACGACTTTTAAGCAAATTTTTTTACAATTAGTAATTGTGAAAAAAATACCTTAAAAGATGTTAATATAGAAAATATTTCATCTTAAACTTTCTTCTGATCTGATTCTAATGTAGATACGCGGAATTATCCAATGGTAGTTACGCGGATTTGCACTATCCCTAAAATATTACAAGATTCACCGATCATGATTCAGATAGATGGCTTATACCTTACATGTCATAACATATAATATTTTAAGGCAATTTCCTTCTACTCATATGAAGAATAGTCTACAGAAACAATGTCTTTGTCTCACATGATAGTCCAAGTGTAAATCCTGACTAAATCCTATATTTTCCAGGAGGTAGTGTCGGAGCGTACCTGGTCTTCGTACCTGGGCGGGTCTCGGCTGGCTCGTATCGTGTCCGTGTCGTCACGGTCCCGTCTGGAGCGCGTGAGGTCCCCGGGCCGCGCGCTCGCCGACCGGAGCGTGCTCTACAAGTACTCGAACCCCAACTTGGTGCTGTTCGTGCTCGAGAAAACTGATCCCACACATAAAGGTAATGAGATTTAAGACTCGCGAGTATTAATTAAAATTAAACTTATATTTTGTGGAACTACATACTCCCGATGTTTCGGTTATATCTCTTAGTAAAGTAATCCGAAAATATTACTTTCATTAATCGATGATCTTCTTCTACCTGGCAATTTCCCAGCTTAATAGTTTTGGCTAATTGTTTTTACAACCGGCCGCCTGCTTGACATCAACCCTCTTTGTGAATGCATTAATCAGTGATGTTTAAATACTCTTAAAGTACATATGACTCGGAAAAATCACATTAGTACTTGCCCAGGAGAGGATAGAACTCGCGGCCTCATGCATGAGAGGCGGGCCTTTTAACCACTAGGCCACCAATTGATAAATGGAGTTAGAAAACATATAAATCCTACTAATATTATAATTGCGAAATTTTGTGAGTGTGTGTGTGTATGTTTGTTACTTTTTCACGCTCAAACGGCTGAACCGATTTTTATAAAATTTTGTATACAGGAAGCTGACGTCAAGAATAACATATGGGATACTTTAGATCCCGGAAATCTTAAATATCCCGGAAATCCGCGGGTAACATCGCGGGACGCAGCTAGTATATAATAAGTTTATTAGTATCTATATAATGCAGTATTGTAATACAAGTTTTTCTTCATACAGATGTGGTAGTGTCGGTTGTATTGGACGCGGTGACGGGCGCGGTGGTGGGCGCGTCCTCTCACAGACGAGCGCGCGCCCTGCCCCTGGCTGTACACGCTGACAACTGCTTCGCTTACATGTACAGGAGCGATAAACATCGACGGGTCGAGATAGGTAGCGTATAATAAGGATTATAGGAATATGGGACATATTAAATAGAACTAATCTTGTTGTATTGATTGTTAAATCATATAAACAGTTCATATAAAAGTCCAGAATGAATGAGCTCATGACACTTCATATATACAATTTATTTATTTATTTACGGTTTACAAAACAGATTATAACTAAGGATACAATTAATTGATAATTTAACATTATAAATAAGCTGAGTTATAACCCAATGACTATGTGAACACATTATAGACTAAAAATGTCACTTATAAAATCAAAAAATACATCAGCACTTTAAATACATTGTATACATATAAGAAAAGACATTTACAATAAGTAGAAAGAATATTTTATACAAAAAAATATGAACAAAAATAAAATGAAATTATAAACTGCTGAAGTGAGGAATCAAATAACGGATAACTAATTTCTATGTAAATCGTCTAATAATGTAATAGGCTAGTTTGTATATATGTTAATCATTGCTGCGCCATCTCTAGTGGGATGGTGAAGCAATAATAAATACTAACTAGTTTTTAAGTTTTATATTGTTACTAACAAATTGAGTCTTGTGTTGATTGAATTTTAAATTAAATAAATAAGTTTCTAATACTGTTCCTCTAGCCACTATGGAGTTGTACGAGGGTAAGGACCGCTGGTCTCCTGCCGGCGAGCCCTTCAGTTCGTCGGCCAGCTGGCGCGCGCCCGTAGTGGAGCGTCAGGCGTACATCCTGCCCGCGCTGCCAACAGCCGCTGCGTTCACCATCACTGAGAGATCGCTCACGGACAGACACGTGTTATGTATGAACATATATATATTTTCTTCTATATCAAAGATGATAAATGATCAGACGTTTTATATGATAGTCAGAAGTGACCGTCGCCCATGAATAGATGATGTAAATGCACTGAGTATTTTCATTGTTGAGGAAAATTAAGGGATGGGAATAGTTAAAATTCAACCGGCTCTCACTCATCAAACGAAACGCTACTAAAGGCTACTTTACTCCGATCGTCTGTAAGAGGATGGTACTTTCCCGATCGAGCCAGCCCATGTTCGAGCTGTAATAACTTGAATATAGCTAGGCTACCACCTATACATATATGACTTAGAATAAACAATAGATAGCACGTATTAACCGTTATCTCTGTTATGTTTCCAGTGGGTCTGTCATCGGGCGGCGTGGTGGAGGTGCCGTGGTCGTTCCTGGAGGCTCGTCGCGGCGCGGTGGGTGAGGAGTCTGTGCTGCCCTACCTGCCCGAGCTGCCGCTGCCCGCCGAGCGCGTGCTGTCCTACAACCTGACGCTGCCCCGCCTGGCCGCGCTGCACACTTCGCCCGCCGGACTAGAGTCCACCAGCCTCATGCTGGCCACCGGACTGGGTCAGTCAGCATATATACTGTGTCTTATATATTATTCTGAGTTTCTTTCACCAGTTTTTTTCAGGTCAGGGTATTTTCTTTTCCGAACCAGGGGTAGTCTCTCGCTCAAGTGACCATCAATAAGAAAGTGTAATGCTTCTATATTGAATAAAGTTATTTGAGTTTGATTAGAGTATCTAGTAACAATACTGGTCGCAGTTCTACCCTATATTACTATTACTCGTAAATTTATCCTGACATCTATTGTAATATGAAATTCACATTCTATACTTCTTAATATCCCGTAATTTTATGTTAAAAACACACACACATACACACTTTTGTATTTAACACCATTTGCTTTGCTTTTTTTCCTTTTCTTTTTATCCTTAATTGTATGCTCGTGTGTAACTGTAGAACTGTAAATTTGTGTAATCCTAAATTGGCCTTGTTTATAACTATTTTGTTACTATTCTAAAATTACTGTAACGCTGTTGGAATACCAAAAAACGAAAAAAAAATAAAATAAATAAAAAAAATAAAACAAATATCTTCGTGATCATGAAGCATCTATTGCCTTCCATCAACTTCTCTTCTATACAAATATAGATTCATGACTGTTTCTCATATATCCAGATCTGTTCTACACGCGAGTGGCGCCCTCTCGCACGTTCGACCTGCTGAAGGACGACTTCGACTACTACCTCATAACGATAGTGTTGGCAGCGCTCGTGCTAGCCACGTACGGCACCAAGTACCTCGCTTCAAGGAAGACGCTCAAGATGGCCTGGAAGTGATAGTAACACATAGACCCAGCCGCGGGGGAGGGGGGGATACTAACAATAAAACATAACATTAATTTATTTAAAATCTATCTTCATATTTAAAAAGGATTCTTTTGACTCGCGGCCTTACCTCGACTTAATGCGACCATTAGTTATCTGTCCGGTGTAATCCGGGCATACATGTATATCTAGCGATACTTGACGCACTGCCGATGTTAGAGCCAGTAGGTTACATGCTGTTGTGATGTGTGACGGAACATGGTGTCTTACTTGGATTTTATAAGAACTTTTATTGATATCTAGGAAACTGGATGATAAGGTCAACACGATACGGATGAACAGATTTTGATGAGGCTTTTTTGCGAACGGAACTCGAGGAATGAGGAACTTAATATTAAAACGATTTATATTATAAAAAATATTTAGATTTGTGGACGTGAATAGTGAGTTATATAAGACATTAAAGGATTTTACAAGAAATATTCCCACTTTTATAATATGAAAGGTATTAACATTTTAATGTGTAGCTAGGATAAAGATATGGAACGTTTGTATCTGATTGAATGGTAATTCATTGTAGAAAATAATAAAAATAAGGAGAGAGCCGGCGGTAAAAGCTTGTTTAGATTTTTTTAATGTGAATAAAATCAAAAATTACCTCAGCGACACACGAGTCAGTCCGTATGAAGTGAGTTAGTGCAATTTAGTATAAATTATAATTATATAGGATCGTAGGTAGAGCGTCACATACATTGTAATAATAATCACACATCATTCCACGGAACGAGTGAACACGCGTTTACCACAAACTCGACACTCACAGTTTGCCGTATTTATTCCTATTAATATTATAAATGCGAAAGTAACTCTGTCTGTCTGTTACGCTTTCACGCCTGAACCACTGAATTGATTTTAATGAAATTTGGTACAGAAATAGAGTTGGCCTTGAGAAAGAACAGGCTAGTTTTGATATCAGACTTTTGAAAGGTTCTCTTGGAAACGCGATGTAACCGAACTCCACGCGAGCGAAGCTAGGGGCGGAAAGCTAGTATGAAATATATAAGAAGATTTATAAACGAAAAACTGCGTGGAGTTTGTTGTAAACACGTGTCGAGAACACGAATCACTAGTTAAGGTGTAACATAATATCAATATAATTTATTCAACAAACAGATGTTATAATTAAACTATTTTATGTGTATTGGAAGCCGTGGCAATTAATGAGGAGGTTCCAGGAGGGATGTGACGTCATAAAAGGTAACTCGTAGAATACTAAAATAAAGTTGAAATATAAAATATAGAATGACAAAGTCACCAATAGGAGTCAAGACGCGATGGTTCAAATGTTAATGAAACTGGACTAAGACATTCAGGAGGTCGCGGGTTCGGAGCCCGGACGTGTCCATGAATTTTTCATTCTATATTTTCTACTTCATTTTCATTTTATAATTGTCTGTAGTTCTTCTTATCATAAACTCCTTCACGGAACCTCTTTATAATCGCCAATATTAATTTCCCAGAAGCGTTTCAATGTTTTATCAAATCATTATATCATCTATATAGTTATCAGAGAATTTATTAATTCGTATAAGAATATGTTTTAATTGTTAAGTGAATTTCTTTAAGCATATCTTAAATTGTTTTTATTTAAAACCTCATTACAATAAAATATATCAAATGATCTTTGTTGCTTTGTTTTAATTTCTTTATTATTTGAAAAATTCTTTACGAATGCACGTTTTGTGTTTCACACATTGGTGGATTTTTTAATCATATAATTATAAAATGACAACACCAAGTAAAAGTAAGGTATTGAATTGTAGATGTCAAATGTCATGTAAATAAATGGTAGTTTAAATTGAATTCATAATTAATTTTATTTATATTATACTACTTGTACTTTATAAGGTTACAGTATTACAGTCGATGTTCTGTAAATAATTTTTACACAAAATAAGAGTCGTTGATCGCTGTTTGTGAGTTACCGAAAAATTTAGGTTAGTTTATAAAACTTAATATTCTGTTCATACTGGAATGTTACTTTATCTAAAATAAACTCTTATTTAGGTTGTGTTTATTATATTATTCTGTGGATTTTAATTTGTGGGCATTTTAAATCGGTTTTATTTTCGATGGATCGACAATTTTGTTTTTGAATAAAGCCATGATCAACTGCCGCCGGGTATTTTATTTTATACCTAAACTTATTAATGTATGTTTGTGTTTAAAGAGAATTTAATATAGATGACGGTACTTTGAACGAAAACAAACTAATCAATTCAGGTTGTCAACCTCAGGTTGCCCGTCACGCACACATCTCGTCTGCCTGTGATCACGGTTGCTGAAAATAACGAAACGTCGGGAGTATGTAGTTTATAATCTATACTAATATTATAAAGCTGAAGAGTTTGTTTGTTTGTTTGTTTGAAAGCGCTAATCTCCGAAACTACTGGTTCGAATTGAATAATTCTTTTTGAGTTGGATAGTCCAGTTATCGAGAAAGGCTGTAGGCTATATAACATCACGCTACGACCAATAGGAGCAAAGATATAGTGGTAAATGTGTAAAACACGGGAGAAATTATTTCATCTTTGAAGCCTTTCGTTGCGTGCGCCGTGGAAACGGTTCAAGATACACAAAAAATATGTGTGAAAGAATAATAGCTCTTTTAATGATCTAAAAAACAGTCCGCGACAGTATGTGTCTATCTTTTAAGATTAACTCACAAAAACCGTTTTTATGGTACCTAATTTGGTCGAAATAATTTGTTTAAGTTGTATCAACATAACAATATTAATCTTTATTCAAATAAGCAAATAAATATGTTATTGGTTAAGAGTACTTCATTGTGAATTAAAAAAAAACATAGGTTTTATCCTGAAAATTCTGCGGGAACTCGACCATTCCGAAAACCCCGCAAGAACGGGAACTATGTGGGAAGAACCAAAAACTGCCGGAAGTTACTATTGCACGCGGACGAAGTCGCGGCAAAAGCTAGTGTTAGTATATATATTTATTACATATGTAAATATATTTTTGCAGACATCTTTTCTTGATTGACTTCCAAAAAAAGAATAATTTTCCCCAAATAATCCTATTGGTAATCTTCCCGTTACAGCATATTTTCGTTTTCTTAAATATATGATCGTAAAAATTTGCATAAAAACCAAATGATATTTTTTTTTCCTATACATATAACTATAAGACCCGACGAACTTCGTATCGCCCTATAATCAAGAAATATCGGTTACGTTTTTTTAATAAATAAATTTAGGTTATACCTTAGCCTCAGAAACATTCGGTGGTTATGCTATTATTAATTAGTCGCTCATATATAACGTTTGTATTTTTAACATAGCGCCAATAGATGTATTGAATACTTAACTCAGTCAAAAGATAATTGTAATAATGACAAATAATTTTCTTTAATAGACAAATAATTTGCAATAAAATAATATTGTGACTATAAATTGCTCGCAACATGTCGTAGCGCGTTAACCGAACAGTGATAGGACGCGGGCGCGCCTGCTCGCAGCTACTCAGAGAATCGCGACGCGGACCCGATCGCTGCGCGCTCACAATGTCGACGTCTTGAAGGTTAACACCTATTTTCTTGGCTACCAGCGTGATAATATGAAGCACGTTTTCTCTGAGCTTTTCTGTCAAACCTGATATCTCTATATCATTTGAAAAGCATTCTTGCTCCCGGTCATTAAGATCTGAACGAAGTTGAGCAACTCCTTCTTGAGAGGTATCATCCCGGTCCATGTTGCTACCTGCTTTCTGTTGCTCCAGTGAAGATAAACGCTCCTCAATACTATCCACGTGGTTATTAAATTCTGTGATGCAGGAATTTAATTTGGCCAGCTCGAGCCTAAAGGATGTCATCTCTTCAGAAACCATGGCTAGCTCGGCTCTCAATAATTTTATTTCACGGACGAGAGAGGATTCATTAGCCGAATTTGCGTTAAGTTTCTCATCATTTCTTTCCTCGTTAGCAAGGGAAGCTGGAAGACATTTAATGTAACCACTGTTTCTGCAACTACGACACATCCATTTTTGAGGAATATGAGATTCCGGGCTTAGATTTACGCAAGCCCTATGGAACATTGATGTGCATTTTGTGCACTTAGCGCCATCTGACGCTGACAGGAATTTACCACAATGTTGACATTTATTTGCCATAGTGTCTTATTAAGGATAATAGTTCACTTGATAGATACTAGGTGGCACTATAAATAAAGTGTAATGGTGTTTTATTTACTGTTTTGTCAAACTATTTTAAAATTAGTTTATTTCACTAAATGTTAATAAAATAAAACCTGTATTCCAGCTTATACTCTGTTTCACTATTTTTATAATATATTTGATGTACTTAGCTATTTTTTCAATAAGAGGCTAAACACAACGAACAGCTGATTGAAATACAGAGTTTTTGCTCTAAAACACTACTTCACTATAACTAAGCACTTTGAATTTATTTGTACACTATGAATGATTACTTAAGAAACTTTTCAATAATGATTGTTTGCAACGGAAACTGACTAAAATATTTCATTATCAACAAAATACTGCGAGTCGAATCAGCTGTCACCGCCTTACATAATATAAAACAGCCTTAATTCTCAAAACTCTGAGTGAAATAAATTAAAAGCGATTTTGTTGACTACCTTTTATTAAATCATATTTTTAAAATATATACAGTCTTAGAGTTTAATACATAGTATTGTGTTTAATATGAGAGTTAAAATTCAAACAAAAATATGTTCTCCACATAATTCTAGCTTTGAGCGGGTTTAATTCCGATTTTAAATTGTCTTAAAAGTCTAAAAATATCGTATTTAAAACTTATTTATAAGCAGAATCGGACAAAATGTGGTTAATACATATATCACTATACAGGGTGACTGGTGAATTACTATCAATATTTAAGGAGGATACTCGGTACATGATTCTCATTCGAATTATGTAAAAAAAATAGGTACTTAATTTTTGACAAATTTTCCGTATAAATAAATAAAGTGTTGACACGTTCCAAGTGTTCCAAGCGTGGACGTGTGCGGCGGCGTGCTGATACAACACTACGCCGCCGCCGCGTCTGTGTGAGTGTATGTGTATACCTAATCTGTAGGGTGTTCACACGATGCGTAATTAATTACATAACTTTTGGTTAACTTTACTTAGAAGTTTATTAATATTTTTGTTATATTAATTTTTATTTTGTCATATATGATCGTCACAAATCACGTCCTCAAATATCGATAGTAATTCACCAGTCACCCTGTATAAATATTGAGATAAAAGTACATTATATGGTTATTGACTTACACTGTTAGCGGTACACTAAAGAGTATATAAAATAAAATGTCAAGGACAAATAATGTTGCATTTTTGTGTGAAAAAGACTAAATAATGTTTGGAAAAGAAATTGAGAGAGCAACTTAACCCGCTGAAGAATAATACAGTTCAGGATCAGGACAATCTCTAAGTTATAATTAAATCGCGGTACACTTGTTATTAGAATTAAATTCTGAACATTAAGAGTATTTATTACATTATTTTTTCATCAAAAAGATCAGTTATATACAATAATATCATATGACACACCAACTAGTCGCTTGTAAACGTTCACAACTCTGAACAAATAAAACTAGGTATAATATTATTCTATTCATGAGATCTCAAGACGAAGCCGATTACAATTCACCGTATCTCGAAGATATTTGGCACCGGGAACATACAAAGACTTACATATGAAAACTATATGATATTCACAATGAAGTGTGTGATAGATAAAACGAATTCGCTTACCACGAGTCGCGTACAACTGACATATGCGACCGGTAGTAAGAGTGTATGTACAGTGAGCTAGTATATAATGTTTTTAGATTCACTTGTGTACGTAGAATATGAGTTTGATGTTGTTATCGTAGTGCGGGTCAGTGGACTCGTAGGGCGAGCCGGTGACTGTCTGCAGGCTCACGAAGCGGCACGCGGGCGGAGTTAGTTGAAGCTTGTTGTTGGCCAGCCGGCGGAGGAACTGCCACGAGCTGCCGTAGTCGTACTCCAGCATGTCCTTGAAGAACTTCACCGCCAACAGCTGGAAAAATAAAACTCACACTGAATATGCATACACCTGGAATATGATTGATAATATTGTGACCACATAGTGTAGTTAAAAATAAGTTAATGTATGTTTTCTATGAAACCAAACGAATACGGCAAGTTAATGAGGAAGTATGATAAAGGGATGTTTGTTACATTTCAAGAAATAATTACTGAAAAGATTTTGATGGTAATTTTCAATATTGTGTCCTAAGCATTACATCACATGTGAGTTAATATTGTGACCACATAGTATAGTTATTTTTGTAAGTTAATGTATGTTTTCTATGAAACTCAATGAGTACATAGTTAAAGAGGAAGTGTGAATTACTGATTAGATTTTAAGAAATTGTTGATTATCTCCAGTAAAGTAGCTCATGTATCACTAGATATATGGGATAATATTTAATCTAAAAAAAATTACCATGAAGTGCACGAAGCGCTAAATGTAGGTGCACTTTTATGAAGTCAAACTTCTATTGACACTGACGATTGATGGCGCTATCAATTGGTTTATACATTTCATCAAACTAATTTTAACTATAGCTCTAGTTTGTCGTTTACACGTTGCAGCGATTAAATTACGAGATTACATAGAAATACCCGTTCATTAGCTTATAGTGAAAATGTAACATTGCTCACAAGTGTTTCTTCGTCAGAACACAAGACATAGTTAAAATGAAACTAATATTTTCGGATTTTACTTCGCGTCACGCACACATCTCGTCTGCCCGTGATCACGGTTGCTGAAAAGTAACCGAAACGTCGGGAGTATGTAGTTTGTAATCAAAAATAAAATATATAAAATGGATTGCTGTTCCTTAGTCTCGCTAAAACTCGAGAACGGCTGAACCGATTTGGCTAATTTTAGTCTTGAAATACTCCTGGAAGTCCAGGGCAGGTTTATAAGGTGAGAAAAATTGGAATAATTGCCAGGAAAACCCTAAAAACAGCCCTTTTCTATTTCCCATACAAACGTTTTTTTGACATTAGATTTGACAACTAGCTAATATGTCAATCATTCTGTTTGATTGAAACAGGAAAAACCTGATTATTTATGGCCTCTAAGACGGAATAGAGTTCGCCAGTTCGGTCAGCTATACATACATATATTGCTCTTGACCAAACTAACGCGGACGAAGTCGCGGGCAAAAACTAGTCAAAAATAAAACGCGAAGTAAAATCCGAAAATATTAGTTTCATTTAAATGAGTACTCGCGAAAATCTTAGATCTCATTAAGATATAGTTTAGTCTGTGTATAGTTACCTGTAGAGGTTTGGGTTGGTTGTTGTGTAGGTAGAGCGCCCCGGCCTTCAGAGCGTCTTGTAGCGTGGCGGCCCGGAGCCCCACGTTGGCGGCCAGCGGGCCCAGCGCCTCGAGGGCGGAGCGCTGCAGGGAGTAGGAGGCGGTGAGGCGGTACGAGGAGCCCGCGTCCGCTAACACGCTGCGGCGGGAACACGAGCGGAGCAGAGAACACACGCGGGGGAGAACGTCCCTGAAACAGATAGATAGATTTAGTAGCTTTTTTCCTTTTTTATATAAATTAAGAAAAATCCTGTATTTTGTAATCATGTCTTTTTTTACACAATTGAATATCTATTATTTTTATTAATGTAACCCTGTTAGTCGTTAATTGCCTATAACAAACTGCATGCTGTAATTACCTGTAAGTAAAAGAACAATTGAAATGTATTACTAAAATTACTGCTGTACACGAATTATTATATCTTTAGTTGGTAGTTCTAAATAAATAAATAGACGATGGAAGAATATGAAGTTATACTGTACAGTTCTAACCACTTACAGTTAAGAATAATTTTATATTCCACAGAACATGTATATCGATTAATGTTTGGGTTTACAAACAAGCACTTGGAAAATAGTCTATCAGTGTAACCATACAACGTTATATTATTCGTCAGTCAAATAAGTATCTTTTTTCACCACCCTGAAAGTTCTGTAACATATCAATGTTCCCTACAACCTGTCCTCATATAACATATCTCTTGTACTACTCACTTAACAACCCTATCCCTAACAAACTCCCCAGCCAGGTCCGCCAGTAGCGCCAGCAGCCTGAGCGCCTGCCTGGCTAGCGGCGGCTCGTGCTGCAGCCTGACCGCCAGCGGCTCCCACAGCTGGTGCACGAGCGGCAGCAGCTGGTCGTCGTGTCCCCTCAGCAGCACTAAACCTCGCTCCAGCGTTTCCATGGCAACCAGCGCCTCGTCCCGCCTCTTGTAAGACACGAAGTGCACGCAGCGCTTCAGTATGGTGATAGTGACGCGCACGTGCTGAGGGAGCGGGGCCGCCTCCTCTGGAATATATAATGAATATGACATTAAAGATGGATTAAGGTGGAACTAGAATTAGAATTGGAATAGAAAATGTAGAATAAAAAATTGATATATTCTGTAAGAAACCACTGAAACGAGATACTCTGTGGATATAGATCGCGATTTGATCCACAATTCTAATAAAGTCGTATAATTACTGTCACGGATATCATACTGGTCATTACAATATATTGAGGAATATCAACCTCGATAAAAAATCACTATAAAAGCAAGAATTTTAAGTGTTAATGTGGTGTTAGCAATTAGTTATAAGAATATTTTCAATTTTGAATATGTTGCTTATTTTGTTGTAATGGTGTTTACAGCTCATTATTTTGTTTTTTAATTTACTTTTTATATCTGATAATTTCAATTAGAAACTGACTGAATTTTTCCAATCTATACTAATATTATAAAGCTGAAGAGTTTGTTTGTTTGAAAGCGCTAATCTCCGAAACTACTGGTTCGAATTGAATAATTCTTTTTGTGTTGGATAGTCCAGTTATCGAGGAAGGCTTTAGGCTATATAACATCACGCTACGACCAATAGAAACAAAGATATAGTGGTAAATGTGTAAAAAACGGGAGAAATTATTTCATCTTTGAAGCCTTCCGATGCGTGCGCCGTGAAAACGGTTCAAAATACACAAAAAATATGTGTTAAAGAATAATAGCTCTTTTAATGATCTAAAAAACACTCCGCGACAGTATATGTCCATCTTTTAAGATTAACTCACAAAAACCGTTTTTATGGTACCTAATTTGGTCGAAATAATTTGTTTAAGTTGTATCAACATAGTAATATTAATCTTTATTCAAATAAACAAATAAATATGTTGTTGGTTAAGAGTACTTCATTGTGAGTAAAAAAAACATAGGTTTTATCCTGAAAATTCTACGGGAACTCGACCATTCCGAAAACCCCACAAGAACGGGAACTATGTGGGAAGAACCAGAAATCTGCCGTAAGTCACTATTCCAAGCGGACGGAGTTGCGGCAAAAGCTTGTGTATTATATATTATGTAGTCAGTGGTGGCCTAGTGGTTAAAGGCCCGCCTCTCGTGCATGAGAGCGAAGGTTCGGAACCTGGCAAGTACCAATGTGCTTTTTCTGAGTCATATGTAATGTCTAAGAGTATTTGAAAGACGGCGAAGGAAAACATCGCGAGGAAACCTGGACTTATAATTTCACAATTATAAGTTTGAAATCACCAACCCATCTTGAGCAAGCGTGCCGATTAATTCTCTAATCTTCTGCCTGTGAGAAAGAGGCCTTTGCTCAGCAGTGGGCTTTGATAGGCCGATGACGATATAATGAGTATACAGGGTGACTGGTGAATTACTATCGATACTTGAGGACGTGATATTTGACGATCATATATGACAAAATAAAAATTAATATAACATAAATATTAATAAACTTCTAAGTAAAGTTAACCAAAAGTTATGTAATTAATTACGCCTCGTGTAAACACCCTACAGATTAGGTATATACACACACACACACACACTCGCGCGCTTCGGCGTGGTGTTGTATCAGCACGCCGCCGCGCGCGTCAACACTTGGAACACTTGGAACGTGTCCACACTTTATTTATTTATACGGAAATTTGGTCAAAAATTAAGTGCCTATTTTTTTACAAAATTCGAATGAGAATCATGTACCGAGTATTCTCCTTAAATATTGATAGTAATTCACCAGTCACCCTGTATATATAATGAGTTTAACTCACGCGTCACAGTATCGTCATAGTCCAGCAGCTCCTCCTCCCTCCTCTGCAGGTCCTCGCGGTACATCTCCTCCACACTCCTCCCCGTCTCCTCCTCCAACTCCCTCGAGGTCAACAACCTCTCCACCTCCTCCTTGTTGTGAGCGAACTCTATCACGTCCTTCAGCACGTCTATCTCGAGCGCGTGACTCTCCTTCCTCTTGACCGTCTCTTCGGTCAGGAACCATTTCCGTATACAGTTTATGAAGGTCAGGAACACTTGTAGATATGAATACAGATTCTTCTCGTAGTACTGGTCGCAGCTCTGCACTAACACCTGAAAATTATTTAATTATTATATGAATTTATACATATATCAATTATGTATTATTGTAATTAATATATATATCCTCACGTCCTCCACTATCCCGTATAAGTAGTCCAGTATAGTGACGTCACTGTACTCCATAACCACTGATAATATCTGTAGGGCCGACTGTGTGTTCCAAGCCTGATGGACAATAATTTATTTATATTATATATATGTCTTTATTTAAATCTAAGTCACTAACCAATTGAAGTACCTTCTTAAGCCGTCCGGTGACCTGGCTAGTGAAGTAGTCCGCGTTCCTGCCGATGAGGTCCGTGACGTCACTGGCGTCGGTGGCCGCTGCCACGTGCTGCAGGGCGATCAGACCCGACGACCGGAGAGGGGGGTACCGACTACCTGGAGGGGGGAAGGGGGGCGGTCATGACAGATAGATAATATGTGGGCATATGGGTTAACGAAAGTATTGATATATTAATTTTACTAATAAAGTTAAAATCATATAGAAATATATTATATTTTATTTATTGTATATACTCTTAAGATTTACTTAATAAGATAGTCTTTTTTTAAAGAAAATGCAATTACATGTAAACAACTACATATAACTAAACACAGTTCTGTTTCCGCCATTCTGTTTGTTCCGCCTAATCTGTGAAACGGCTACACTTAATCTGACGGGATCTTGCTTGTTAGTTGTTAGGTAACTTATATAATAGGGAATGACTTTGACTATCTTTATTTAAAAAAATAACTATTATATAATCTGAAAATAAAATATAACTCATGGACAGGTCTAGTTTAACTCTATCTGCAGTATCTCACCGACTCTCTCCAACAACAGACACAGAGTCTTCAGCAGGTAGTGCTGGTAGTCGGGTCCTAGTCTCAGCGCCATCAGCCCCAAGCCTTCAGTGAGCAGGCAGCTCATGGTGAGGTTCCTCCGCGCGTGTCCAAGGGTCACACACGTGTTGGGTTCGAGTCTGACCCGCGGCAGGGTCGAGCTGATGTCCGTGAAGCGAGTCTCGATAGCACCCTCGAATAGACCTACAACGAACGTTATATTTTTTATTTATTTTTGTACCAACAAAGTATACAGTAAATTATTAATAATATATGTGTACAAGGGATATCTTATCTCTAACAAGAGATCTCTTCCAGAAACCCTGAATAAAGTGGAGACCATCACTGCTAATCTATACTAATATTATAAAGCTGAAGAGTTTGTTTGTTTGTTTGTTTGTTTGAAAGCGCTAATCTCCGAAACTACTGGTTCGAATTGAATAATTCTTTTTGTGTTGGATAGTCCAGTTATCGAGGAAGGCTGTAGGCTATATAAAATCACGTTACGACCAATAGGAGCAAAGATATAGTGGTAAATGTGTAAAAAACGGGAGAAGTTATTTCATCTTTGAAGCCTTCCGTTGCGTGCGCCGTGAAAACGGTTCAAGATACACAAAAAATATGTATTAAAGAATAATAGCTCTTTTAATGATCTAAAAAACAGTCCGCGACAGTATATGTCTATCTTTTAAGATTAACTCACAAAAACCGTTTTTATGGTACCTAATTTGGTCGAAATAATTTGTTAAAGTTGTATCAATATAATAATATTAATCTTTATTCAAATAAACAAATAAATATGTTGTTGGTTAAGAGTACTTCATTGTGAATTTAAAAAAAAACATAGGTTTTATCCTGAAAAGTCTACGGGAACTCGACCATTCCGAAAACCCCGCAAGAACGGTAACTATGTGGGAAGAACCAAAAATCTGCCGGAAGTCACTATTCCACGCGGACGTAGTCGCGGCAAAAGCTAGTATTATATAGTTGAAGCTCGCACCTCGTGAATGTTGAACGCACTTCATAAATTTACATTTACTTTGAAGTCACACAAAATTTTAATAACCAAATGATGAATTTCTTATCTTCTATATATATAAAAATGGATTGCTGTTCCTTAGTCTCGCTAAACCTCGAGAACAGCTGAACCGATTTGGCTAATTTTAGTCTTGAAATACTCCTGGAAGTCGAGGGAAGGTTTAAAAGGTGAGAAAAATTGTAATAATTGCCGGGAAAACCCTAAAAACAGCCCTTTTCTATTTCCCATACAAAAGTTTTTTTGACATTAGATTTGACAACTAATTAATATTATTATGGCCTCTAAAACGGAATAGAGTTCGCCTGGTCAGCTATACCTACATATATTACTCTTGACCAAACTAACGCGGACGAAGTCGCGGGCAAAAACTAGTCTTCTATATATATAAAAATGGATTGCTGTTCCTTAGTCTCGCTAAAACTCGAGAACAGCTGAACGGATTTATCTTATCTTAGTCTTGAAGTGTTCGTGGAGGTTCAGGGAAGGTATAAAAGCTGAAAAAAATTGATTCATTACTGGGATAACCATAAAAACAGCCCTTTCCTATTTCCCATACAAACGTTTTTTTTGACATTAGATTTGACAACTAACTATTATGTCAATCATTCTGTCGCACTTCAAAACACGGAGATTTACGGCTTACAGGTAAACTCGAAAAATATAAATAAAAAACCTAATAGATATTTCTTGATTATAGGGCGATACGAAGTTCGCCAGGTCTTCTAATATAATATATAAATACAAAACATAAGTCAAACTTATTTCAGACCTAGACTCAGGTGTTCGTAAAAGAATCTAAACTCACAAACTGTGATATAATTTACAGAGTTTTAATTTCTTTTTATTTGTTTTTGTGTTAAGGTGTAACGAATTTTCAGGACTAGATTAATGTAACTCAGACATCAGTATAGCATGTAGGGTATAACATATCTCTAAATTCTGTGAAACCGTATTTGTTTTGTATGAAATCACATGACACAGATTATAGATGTCGCTGTTTGGTGCCAACCATATTTATTATTCTAAAACACTTTATATGTCTCTATGTTATCTCTAATCTGGAAGTCTTAAGTCAACAAATCTTCAAAATTATTACCAGTTTTATATATACTAAAAGGTTTAAATAATAAATTCATTAATATCAACATAAAATAAAATATACGTCGTCTGACACAATCTTCAATAGCGATATTTCGCTATATGAACTTCGAAATGCCTCAATTGTATTTTATTAATTAATGTAGAAGATTTGTATGACCTTGTAAAACACTCAAATAGTTCTATACTCTAAATCCTTTGTCTCATTTAGGGTAGTTACAGCTATACTACTTTAACTGTACGAGCTACGTTTGACATATTACGAAATCATGTAAATGCACGCATCATTTTAGTTTCATACAAAATTATAGTAACTTATAATTTTATTTAGTTCCCATTCGTTCAATCATATATATTTAATATTATAATGAGACCTAATATTTTCGCGAGTATTATTCATTTAAGTGAAACTAATATTTATCGGATATACTATGCATTCGATGTTATTTTTGATAAAAAACTACGTCATACTTCCGACGTTTCGGTTACTTTACATTATGTAATTTTTTTTATCAAATTATGTAATTTATTTCTTGTTAAAAATACTCATTAGTAATTAATTAATAGTTGTATTTTATGTTACATCAAAATTAGTCCAGTTCCCTGTAAAAACAGAAGTGGAAACTTAGCTGGCATAACTATCAAAATATGATTATTATATTAAGTTGTAATATACGATATGCTGTATGTTTCCCTAATATTAAATAAATAAATAAATTTATTTATTTAATATTAGGGAAACATACAGGACCGTATTAAGGCTACTGAAACCGAAGTATCTGAAATACGCACACAATTCAGCAGACAGCAACAACAAGCAAGGTTGAATAACCTAGAGATTATTGGCGTTCCACAGAGCAATAAGGAATCCCCAACCGATTTAGTTATTAAAATAGCCCAATATGCGGGGGTTGACCTTAACCCAGGTGACATAGAATTTGCACACCGCGTTCAGCCTCAAAAAAACGTTCCGGACAGGCCCAAACCTATTGTCGTCAAATTAAGGAATCGAATATTGAAAGATCAAATATTATCAAATCTGAAACGTAAACAAGGCATTAAGACGTCCGATGTTGGTTTTGGAGGTTCAGAAAGAAAGCTTTTTGTAAATGAACACTTGACTCCCGAAAATAAGCAACTACTCAAAGCGGCCAAAACTCAGGCGAGGGAGAAAGGCTACAAATTCGTTTGGGTCAGAAATTGCACTATTTATTCGAGAAAAAACGAGGAGACACCAGCGCTGACTATTCTTCAAGAAAACGATCTTAAAAAACTTAATTAATTATAGCGTGAATTCATTCCTTCTCTAGATAGTCATAACGTAACTTTGTTGTTGTTTTCATTTAAATTCTTTTTATTTTTTTTGTTTTGTTCATTGTTCATAAATACACTTCACACTACATTAATACACATCACACTACATACGAACAAAGATACTTTGAAACCAAAGTATTTAGATAAATGTCAGTTAAACCTATTGAAATATTATACCAAAATGTACATGGTTTAAGGACAAAAACTAATGAGATTCGACAAAATATACTTAATCATAATTTTGACTTGATTCTTATAACGGAGTCATGGCTTACAGGCGGTTTTTACGAAGCCGAAATTTGTGACGACCGTTATGATATATTAAGATATGATAGAAACGAAACAACATCCTCAAAGAAATTAGGCGGAGGAGTATTACTGTGTGCTTCAAAAACCCTACACATCCAGCACCAAATCGACTGGTCATGTCCATGTCATGTCATGTGTTGAATCATTATGGGCTACCATCCCCTCTGGATCACTTAAGGCACAAATAAATCGACATGTCCATATTTGTCTGGTTTATATCCCCCCTGATAATTTGTTGCATGCACGTCTTGAAACAATTACTGCTTGTATAGCCAAAATCCTCATGATGCATCCTAATGACTACTTTCTTGTAGTAGGAGATTTTAACCTACCAAACATTACCTGGAACGAATTTGAACCCATACTGCAAAGGCGTGGCCCAACTGACTTGCATACTGCTACGATAAACTTTTTGGATGTATGCAACTTATCAGGTCTAAAACAATATAACCACGTTAAGAACTCCAGGGAAAATACGTTGGATTTAATATTCAGCAATATTGATATTGATGTACGTCATTGCGAGACTCCTCTTGTATTAGAAGACACGTATCATCCTTGTTTACAGTTTGACCTTTCAAATATGTATATTCAAAACTTTCGCTCAAAACCGTCGAAAAAATATAATTTCTTCAAGGGAGACTATCTTAAAATTAATAGCTACTTATTTGAAATTGATTGGCACGATGTTCTTACAGCAGACAATATAGACGACGTGGTAAACAACTTTTACTCTATACTGTACGATACAATAGGCCAATTTGTTCCGATGACAATCAAGTTTAAATCCAACTTTCCATCGTGGTATTCTAAATCTCTCATGCACATTGTCTCAGAAAAGCTCAGTAAGCATAAAAAATGGAAAATGTTCAATAATCCCAGAGATTATGACGAATTTACACTTCTTCGTGCTAGGCAGAAAAGAGTACAGGATAAATGTTACAAATCGTACACACAACGCATGCAATACTACATAAAAAAAGAACCTAAATATCTTTGGTCGTACTTAAAATCTATTCGGAAAAATATAAGTAATTATCCCAATAAACTGACTTTAGGTAATAATACGTATTGTAACGAGTCTGATGCTTGTGAAGATTTCAGTCAATACTTTGAGAGTATTTTCAAAAAACCAACGGAAACTAATAACTTTATCTCAGATCCGATAGATTCAATAAAAAGTAATGACATTGTCTCTAATTTTACAGTTGCAGAAGATGTCGTATTACAATTTTTAAAAACCTTAAAACTAAATAAAGGACCTGGTAGTGACAACATTCCTCCACTATTTCTTAACAAATGTGCAAATAATCTTGCCAAGCCGCTAACAATAATATTTAACTCATCAATTAATATTTTTGGATGTTTCCCTTCGAAGTGGAAAGAAGCACTTATAGTTCCTATTCACAAATGTGGCCCCAAAACTCAAATAGAAAATTATCGGCCGATTTCAATTTTGAACGCAATGAGCAAATTGTTTGAAAAAGTTGTTTATAAATACATCAACCCTTCCATTTCAAGATCAATTCCAATTGAACAACATGGCTTTATGAAAAACCGTTCAACTGTCACGAACCTAGCAGTGTTTACAGATTATGTATTGCGCAGTATGGACGATCATTGTCAGGTAGATGTTATCTACACTGATATAGAAAAAGCCTTTGATCGTGTGGACCATGTAATCCTATTGCAAAAACTTAGCACTTTGGGTATACACGGTAATCTATTGAGGTGGTTCAGTTCCTATGTCAGAAATCGCATGCAAGCTGTGGTAATAGGTAGTGCTCGAAGTAATTACATTACAGTACCTTCTGGAGTGCCACAAGGCTCTATTCTAGGTCCACTCCTATATGGCGTTTACCTTTACGATATAGGAAATTGTTTCAAACATGCCCGGCACTTATTGTTTGCAGATGATAAAAAAATATTTTTAAAAATAAAAAATAGGACAGACTGTCAAAAACTGCAAGAAGATCTCAACTCACTGTCTGAGTACTATTCAAATAATAAAATCACAGCTAATGTTAATAAATGTTGTCATATAACTATAGCACGAAAAACTCACACAATTACTTATGACTACAATATAAATGGCGTACATATCTCAAAAGTAACTTCTGTTAGAGACCTTGGCATTATGTTTGACTATAAGCTCTCTATGCATGAACACCTAGACAGTATAATAAACAAAGCTTATAAACAACTTGGATTCATAAAGCGAGTCACCCAAACTTTCGACAGCATAGACTGTATAAAGACGCTTTACTGCGCTTACGTAAGAAGTTTATTGGAATATGGTTCCAATATTTGGTCGCCATACTATTATACTCACATTCAGCGCCTTGAAATGATTCAAAAGCATTTTTTGAAGTATCTGGCATTTAAAGAATACAAGCAATTTAATAATTACCAGGAAGCGTGTATTAACTACAAAATTGATTCTCTTGAAGAGAGACGAAAACAGAGTGATATGTTACTATTGCAAGCAATACTGACAGGAAAACTTGATTGTCCCTGCCTATTGTCAGCCTTATCGCTACAAGTACCGAGATACAGAACTCGTCACACGGCGTTGCTGCACGTGCCCAAGAGGAAAACAAACTACGCCAAAAATTCAATACCTATTCGTTTAGCGAAAACATATAATAGCTTCTATTCACATCTGGACCTGAACCATATTTCAAGAAACCAACTTAAGAAAGAAATAATAAAGATAGTATAGTAATAGTATATTAAAACACAGACACGCACACACACACGCACACACACACACACGCACACACACACACACACACACACACACACACACACACACACACACACACAAGCACACACTTTTGTATGTAATACCATTTGCTCTGCTTTTTTTTTTCCCTTTGTTTTTATTATTAATTGTATGCTCGAGTGTAACTGTATAAATGAAAATTTGTGTAATCCTAAATTGGCCTTATTTATGGTTGTATTGTTATTATTTTAAGATCATTGTAACGCTGTTGGATTACCAATAAACTAAAAATAAATAAATAAATAAATAAATATTCAATCAAAGTAATCAAGCTACAAATCATTATCAATATATATCATTTCATTAAGCGTATAAGCAAGCAAGTATTACTTATATCTTATATAATTTACCAGGTACAGAGTCCCTAGTCCAAGCCCGCGGGTTGTACACACTCTCATCAAGCGTCTCGTCCGCTGACAGCGGCTTCTCCCCGCTCTGTACCTCCAGCGGCTGGTACCACACGTCTTCTGTTATATACACGCTGATGATGCGACGGGCGAGGTCCGGGTTCGAATCTGGACCTGGGATATAGAATAACTAATGTATTAGCTTACAGACTATATATGTAGATATATTCTACGAAAGTTACGTTTAAAATATAATGTAATTTATTTTCCTGGTGTTATAGTGAGGGTGTATCTGATGATATACTGAACTGATTTTATTGAAACTTTCTAATAACTTGAATATCAGAATAATATATAAGCTATAAGTCATTCTTTCACTGCCTATAATTTCACTGGGAACATCAAAACAAGTGTATGTACTATGAAGTTCCGTGATACAGACGATAGATGTCACTGACGATTCATCAACATATTTAGTAAATTAAGTATACATAATTATTTGGACAGAACAAAATTTATAAGTTATCATATAATTTCTAATCTAAATTACGAGAGCTTCGACAAAACTATTAAATAAACATCCCTACATCGAATCCACAACCATCTAAACCTGTAAACTCTAAAGCAGTATCTAACTTCCGACCTGATCCAAGATAGTTGATGATGTATATAAGGTCGCAGGATCGTCGCTCGTGGAACAGTTCCAGGAGTCTGTCCAGCATCAGCTCCGCGCACTCCGCAGCGCCGAACGACGCCAGCAGACCTTGCAGCTGTTGACCTCCCGCTGGGGAGAGGTGACGCAGGCGACGCCATGGACACGGACCAGATAACTCACATGATGAGAGGCCTGGATATATTGGTCATAAGGAATTATTAGATATGGATGTCAGTTTTTGGGGGGGAATATTTGTCATGAAAGGATTGATTGATTGGTCGGAAATGGTCAAGTTATTTGGTAAGAAGGTAATATATAGGAGTATAGTGATGAGACTACTGAGGGTATGGCAATGAGTAACATCATTAATGACAAAATACAATAAGATAAACTGACCGCTTGGTGGTTTTTTATGTGATGTTCCCAAAATGAAGTGAAGTGTAATAAATATAGTGTGTATGCTATATTATAGAATTAAGTCTAGTGTAAAGTCACATTTATAAAACATCTCATCTGTCCATACAAATATGGTGGACCACCCATTGGCCTAAGCTTTCTTTATGTTATAGTAAAATCTTCTATTATTATTAAATATGACTTAAAGCTACAAAGACGTTTCTTTTCAAACCCAGTAATAAACCACATTAGAGATTGATCGGATGTGGTAAAGTTACTTGATAATTAGATATAGGAGTATAGTGATGAGAATGCCGATGATCCGGCTATGAGTTACATCTATATATTTAAAAGAAAGTTGCTTTTGTTATACTATTTATAACTCAAGAACGGCTGTAGATATATGGTTGAAAATTGGCAAGGAGATAGAGTTGAACCAGGAGATGGGCATGGGATATTTAATTCTGTTTTTTCAATCTTCAATCAAAATTTGATATCTGGTTATTTATTGTCTTCTAGGACGAAATAGAGTTCACAGGGTCAGCTTTACATAAAGAAGTTGCGGGGAAAAACCGGTTGCTAATTATATATGTAATATTTCCAAAATTAAGCAGAGGAAAACAGAAAGAAGACAAAGGAACGCCCTGTTATGAATACAGGGTGGGTTATGACTTAACAATACAGTACACAGTGAGTTTGTTATATAACCTGTGATGTCTCCGCCCGCGGGTCGTGCGAGCAGCGACAGGTCGGTGTACATGTCTGCCGTGGCGAGCAGCGCGTCACACACGCGGTCGAACCCGTCGCTGGCCGTCAGCAGGCTCGTGAGGCGCTGCGGCCGGCCCCCGTCACACAGGATGGTGAGGTATCCCGCAATCAGGTTTAAAGCGGACAGCTTGCGGTTCTCATCTGAACACGCGACGTTTTATTACAAGTGTGAAACGCCTTTATGTTACGAATAGGAATTTATTTTCTTAAACGTGTGTCATGTGGATTCGGATTTATATAATCCATGTACAAGTATTGTATGCATGCTTTTATTAGAGTTATTGAAATATATACACTAAAGTTATTTGTTTTTTTTCCTCACCAATATTATTCATAATTCTCGGCAGGCAGTTGATGGTGGCGAAGAAGTTCTCACAGAGACTGTCCATAGTTTCTCTCTCGGGGTTTGAAAATTGTGCTTTCAACGCCGCTTCACAGTAATCTGATACCTCCTGGTAGGAGTCGTGGCAGAGGGAGATTAATACGTCCAGAGACATCGGCAGGGATGGCTGCATGGTGCTGAAATAAATGCCTTTGTAAAAACCCATAACCAAACGAAAAAATACATTTTTTGTTGGTCCATAGTCACTTAATATTGAATATGAAACTAAAAATAAGAGTCGGCGGCTAATATTTATTAAAATATTATTAATACCTTTATAAAAACCTATGACCAAACGCAAATACATTTTACGTTGGTCCATAGTCATTTAATATTGAACATTAAGCTAAAAATAAGTGTTCCCAGCTGATATTTTCTAAATATTATAAAAATATTAACGTTGGAAAGTTATCTCTTTGAAAGGTGAAGGTTTACTTACGCACTACACTCTGATATGATCCTATAGCAGAGTATGGCCAGCTCCTTCCTCACTTTGAAGTGTTCGTGAGACACGAGCGGTATGAGACTCTTGATGACTATGGCCAGCTTGTCCCCGGCCATCGTGTACCATTCAGATGTCCGCTTGGGAATATCGCGAGGTGCCTTCGCTGGAATATACATCTTATGTCAATAGGAATAAAGACATTTATATCATAAACTTTTAAATACGATGAAAAATTTGTAGGTAATATCTTGCAAGACTTCTTGTATTGAGGATTTATTTCCTACGAGAAATCTTACAAAGTATCCATATCGATTAAGTACGATTTTGTTAGACGAAAAAGGAATAAGGACTCTTGAAATTTGATATGTATACTATACTTTAATGAATGAGGTGATTTTTTTATTTTGTTTACTGTAAAGATAAACAATATTTTATATTAAATGATTGCAAATTTTTGGAATATCAATAAATAAAATAAAAAAGGTTAATGACTGTCAAATAAACGTTACTTCAACAATTTCTGTATCAATACTACCCTCATGAAACGAAACCAATAACAAACCATAAATGATACAATTAATACAACCGAGTTAGGGAAATAAATTAAAATATAATAAAAAAATAACAACAAAACAGAACCAGGATAAACAAAGGCACCAATAATATGAACGACATTCAACAAGGGCCTCCTTTACCTGCATTCTGTGAAGTATTCGGAGTTCTTTCATAGCTGCCGAGCCTTTCCATGTAATTAACGTTTTTTTGGTTGGCATTTTGATTCCTATTCTTTTTTTGTTTTGGAATCTTTCTCTCCCTCCTGGGAGGGTCCGTTTGGTCCCTACCAGATCGTATGAACTCGGCTAGCGAGTGATAATCTCTTGCGGCTATGATCGCACCTAGCCGACTATCTCTGATGCTCTCTGTAATATTATTACAGCAGTATTTTACGACCGCCAACATCAACCTCTGTCTATGATGAAGGATCCACACAATGATCCATGACAGATTTGTTTTGATTTGTAAAAATCGTATTATCACTGACAGAGGTTTTTAATATTATATATATGTAACATTTATAACATACACTATATAGGCCCAAAAGAAAAATAAGGAGGCAGAAAAGGAAAATAAACTTAAAACGACCTTTTGCGTTATGGCGCCTTGAGAGAATTTAGAGAGTTATTAACTATAATTGCTTTCGCAGTTGATGATTTTATGGACTTTACAATTCTTTGACTGATAGACTCGAGAATTGATTGACTTTCGGTTTTTCTTCAAACCCTTATATAAAATTGTAAGAGGAGTGATCCAAAAATAATGATAAAAGGATATTCGTACACTTAACCATATTATGAAGAAAAAGTATTTAATTCCCTCATTTACCTATTAGTTCAGTTTAAATAGATCATATAAATACGCCACGATCAGTAAGTAGTACATTCATTTTAAGATGAAGAGTGAACATAAAAATCGAAAAGAACTAAAACAACTGTCAGAGATTGTGACAGAGTTACTCCTTTTTATGAATAAATGTCTATCATAGACATGCACAACAACCTAGTCGTCTAAACTCCTCTCTCGTGCTGGGCAATGGAGTTCGACTCAGTAGAACATCTGCCAAAGACAAAAATCACAAGAAACGCCCATTGAAGAGTGACATCGTTCAATGAATCTTGTGGAACAATGTGCTCATGAAATAGACGATTTGATTGGCGAAAATATTAACAGACTAACAAAAGGAAAACCAATTAAAAGTTTCGAGGGCGGATCTCAAAGAGTTTTAGACCAATCAGGTTTTTTTGTTCTATTTTGTGACCAAAGACGAAACTAGAATCCACCATTTTAATATATAAACCATACAATAATGAATAATTTAGAAACGAATTTCATGACTGACGCCCAAGACATTTAAGGCGTGGAGGAATCCAAGAAGTTCAGGAAAGGTTATGGAGTCCATTTTAATATTTTTTGGATTTAGCAAAATATAAATAAATATATGATTAGCTAAACTATGCAGAGATATCTCTCTTTTCATGATAATCATTACTTTATGATCACCCCTCGAATGGTCGATTTTAAAAGGACTATACCTTAAAACAAGCTAGTCTAGTGACGAGGTTTTGTAATTATATATCAATTTCTATCTGTTTTAGACATGTATCATTCCTTTTCATGTAGTATTTGAAAAGAAAATAGGATTTTTAGAAGAAATTATTTTAATTAATCAGTATTCATCAGGACATTAAGATAATGTTTTTATGGATTGACATTTTTGATGTCAATAGGGCCTAAACATTTTATGTTTATATGGGGAAGGCACACAAAACTGAAATGACCAGTAATAGATAGAAACAAAACTAAGAAGATGAAACTAAATTCAAATGAAATAAGAAGCAATAATTAACTAACTACTACAAGATGAACACATCAAAGCTAGCATCGATTTGAAATACAAAGTACTGACTGAGTTTGAATCCTTGTTGAATTTTTTTAGTTAAAAAAAATATACTACAACAATGTAAAGGTTTAATAAAATACAAGTCTAAGTGACATCACAATAGTTAGACGAGGCCAACGAATCCGGATAATAAATATAAACAATCATATGGTTTCATAATGGTTTGAATGAACTTTTGAGTTAAATGATTAAAATAATGATTGCAATGAAATCTATAATGACAGGACTAGTCAAAGTTGTTACTTGTCTGACAAGATAAAATCTGTTGTTATTATATTTACAAAAATTATATTGTTTCGTTGATCTAAACATAGAATGTCATGCAATAAAAATAAAATGTTGGACGGTAGTAATAAATGTAAAAATTTACCCTTGCTTACATCATTGGAGGGCTTGGCCTTTTCAGCTAACATGGCCACGAAGTCATCGGCTGTGATCGTTTCTTTGGTCGCCAAGTGTTTGTTGTGCATCGTGAGGCAAAGAACACGATGAGTTGCATTCAATGCCGCCTGGTTTGGAAATATATGCAGATTTATATTGCGAATTTTTTGACAGTTAGTATTAAGTAGCGGAGTGTAGGTAGATCGAAATCATTGAGGATTAGAGCTATATTATTATGAAAATCTCACAACAACAACTGCATGTCCAGGGTTGTCACTCATGGCTACATCCTGTAGTGCAGCCAGCACGCCGGGCAAGATGCATGCTAGCAGCCCTAACACAGCCGTCTCTATAGCAGGGTCTGGTACTAGACCACGCGCGTCTGTCTGTTGAGGGTGGCAGCCCGTGTGCGCACACAGACACGTTATGGCAGCTAATCTAAACACACACACACACACACACACATATGTCAATACAGACTAAATAATAATACAGATAAACTAAACAAATTAATCCAAATATCTCAAAATCACTCCAATTCTGAATTCTTTCTTTGCCATTGTCTATACTCATGTTATAAAATAATGAAGAGGAGTCTTAAATTTAAAGACAGTTAAAAATATTTATAAAATAAAGATTATGTGTGTAGGTGTTTTTTATTAATAATTTTGATTGTAACAATGTAGTGAAATATAATTATAAGAATAACCTGTAATGTATTACTATAATTGTTAGTTTAGTCACATTGCATCAGAGAATAGATAATAATTTTTGATCTTTTGTTCACCAAAAAGTTTAGAGCTTGCAGAAGTAATAACCAATTATTAATTAAATCAAACTAAATAGCGTTTTTCTTTCTTCTCATAATATTAACAAATTTTTAGCTCCAAACTAATGTGAAACAAAATAATTTATTAAATAAATATCTTATATCACTTCAATTAAAAATCTGTATATTAATCCATGAACAAAAATGGCATAGGAACATCATACAATAATAATAAATACCTCAAGCTCCTAAGTTTCTCTAACTTTGCGAGGTGGACTGACACAAACACAGCTTGAGCCAACAACGGCACCTGATTCTCCAGCATTTTCACTCTCGTTGGCTGATCAATATGCAACATCAACACCGTCAAGCACTGCATCACACTTAGTTTAAGTTCTTCGGGGACATCCGCAACTGGAAAGATTTATTTAATCACATTTTACACTCAACATAGAAGAAATGAAACTTAATATTTATAGAACAAAGGCAGATATTATGAAGAGTGAGATCCTACAGATGACTTATTCAAGGAGATATTTGTAATATTCCATCAGATTTTTGCACAATTAGAATAATAATGATTCTTTTTCTTCTTGGCAAAGCTGGGAAATTGCCAGGTAGAAGAAGAAGAATAATTATAACAATATTATTAAGTCAAAAACACACATAAAATAATGAGTGTTTATTATAATAATAGTATCTGATGAGGTGTGCTATAGGATTATAATTTAAACATTATGATCTTACTCATTCCTGGCTTCGGTTTTTCAAACACGAGACTCAAAAGGCCCATTTCAATCTTCATGCACATCTCAAAACTCGTCACACACACCCTCTGCAGCACTTCCCGCATGCTGTCTATTAACAGTCTTTGCATCTCATATTTTGTTCTAGAATACAAATCGAAAAGTTAGTTTATGTTGACAGAATATTTTATTAAATAAATTCCGAAACAAGTGATATAAAATTAGCTGTTAATTTATTAAGCTCCTTTATGATTTCATATAGAAAAAAACTTTTATAACCAGTATAACAAACTATTCACTAAAACCGAAAGTCCTTTGTTATCGTAAAAATCAATAATCTATACGTACTCCATTTCTTTAGACTGTAAGTGTGTGATAAACGGAAACAGCATATACTGCTGCAGCTCCTGGATTATCTCCATCTTCAGCTCTCCTACCAGTGCTGCAAATGCTGTTATATGCTCCGGCGATGGATTTACCATCACCATGTCGCATATTGGCTTTATGCGTGTAAATGCCTCTTTCAAGTGTGCGTTCATTTTGTGTAACTGTTCCAGGTTTTGCATGGAAGAAGTTTACTGTGACATTCTTGTTAAATTCATGATAATATATTGTTATATTTTGATATTAAATAAATATAAGGCTTGTAAAGCTGCAATTTTTTAAAGTTCGTGAAATTGACATCTACTGTCACTGAAACATATGTCTGTCATATTGGTAGAATGATTATTTGAGTCTGTCGGAGATGATAATTTCTTATGTTATTAAAAAAGGTGTGGTCGTCATTGTTTTACATGGTTTTGATAGTTTTTAAGGATAATTATGATATTGAAATTATTTAGCCCTCTTTTCATAGATTTTCTAACTATATTATGGTTATGAATATCAATATTTTTCTGAGGGTTGAAAATTTTTGCATCTATCTAAAATTGAATAATTAAAGTATTACTATTCATTTATATATTGCAAAATATAGTAACTTTTTGAGATTCAATAATAATTTTAATGCAATATAAGCGGTTTAAAATAATTAATCCTTTCTTTAAAAATGGAATGTTGTTAAAACAGCTTATCTGTTTATTGAATTTAATTGTCAAAGTCAGCTGTTATCTGTAATTGTCAGCTATAAGTGAATATGTCAAACTGTAGTGGAAGAATGCCATAGATTTACATTTTAATATCAGTAAAATAATGCCCTATAATTAGTTTTTATTATACTAATTACAAAAAATGTTCACTCTAGGGGGTCAACGGGTCTTACATAAGTGCCTCAAGATTTTGAGGTTAACGTTTGTCGACTTTAGTAGTCTCCCTGATATAAAGAAGTTAAATCTAGTAAGAACTGTTGAGAAGACGATAGATACTAACACTAATATATTTATAGAGAGCCCGATACATGTTAAAGTGACACCCATTGATGTCAATGATTTAAACGCACACAACAAACTGACCATGACTCTCTACAGTCAGGGGAAAGATATCAATGATTTCCAAGTTAAACAGACCTCGAAGCGACTGGAGCTACTCAACCAAAATACTTCTCCGGACAAGAACGATGTGTGCATCATACAGGTCCCTTATAAAGTTAATGTACAGGTCACAACTATAGATACGGCGTCTGTGCAACTATCAAAGCTTGAAGCAGCGGAGTTTGTCGTCAAGACCCAGAAAGGATCAGTTAATGTCGCTAATATAAAAGCTGATAAAATTGAAGTCGAAAGTGGATCTGGGGAAGTTAAAACTGACGGCACTTTGCAAGCGAGCCAAATAGAAATTAAAACTGGTCTAGACGGGGATATAAGGTGCAATAATATAATGGCGAACTCATTCACAGTTGTGTCACACGCTGGAAACATCTCCGTCAAGTCATGTTACAGTGACAAATCACATTTCACAACTCTCATGGGCAATATTAAGTTGGACCACCTTCATAGAACTGTGAAAATAGATGTCATACAGAAAGGAAATTTGAGTATCACCGGATTCGCTGGTAATCTTCAAGCAACACTCAAGAGCGGCGACGTTTTCATGCATGCGTCTCAATTAACCGAGAAAAGTAGCATTTTCATACATGAAAAAGGAAAGGTGGAACTTTTAATACCAAAAATCTTACACAATTTGCCATCGACAAATTTAATAGCGGAAAAAATAACAGTGGATGAAAAGATTCTGAAACTCGGTAGGTTTATGGACGATTCACATCCAAAGAGGTTTAGATATGAGAAGGAACCTCAGAATGAGTTGCATATAGTTTGTAAGAATGGTAAAATTGAATTAAAGGAAACGGATCTCCCTTTCATTATATGAAAATTATAGAACTCATGCATTTACTGGACTTAGATATTGAATAAATGGAATTCAGAGAGATCCTGTTACTATTTCAAATGTTGTTTACTATTAAATGCATTTAAATAAATTTATAATCTGTGTATTGTTTCTCTATATACTCTGTAAGGAATTAAATTATCTATGCATTATATGTAGATGTTCCTTAGATGTGATGTATAATAAACTAATATTATCTTAAATATCTGTATGACATACAGACATATTGAACAACATGCAAATGTCTTCCAGAAATTAATTTCAGTTATACAAAAATATGATCATTCTTTGTATTCTATATTCTTGTTCTTTGTAACTTTTCTTTATATATGTTTATATAATTTTCTTTTATTTTTTTAATATATATTTTTTAATGTCATTTATTAAAAATATCGCAGATAAAAAATATAATAATTTTGAGCATGTTAAGTAATTAACATTTGAACCAAATGTTTCTTTCAATTTATTTTAATTCGCTTTTTTAATGTGACTAAAGCTTTTCGAGTTGACAAAAATAATAAGGTAGGCTTCATATGTTTGTAAATTAAATTAGTAAATTTAAATGGCGTTTCCGAACTGCTTAATATAATTGCATTGTTAATCTTATGTCATGTTCTGATGTTGTAGTTTTGGGATTATATGTATGTTGCGTTTATTCCTAGTGTCTAAATAATGTTATTTAATGAGTAAATAATATTAATAAAGATAATTTAAATTATTGTTTCATTATTTTCCCACAATTTAAAAATGGAATGCACTGTATTAACGTCTAGCAGAACGGTTAAAAATATACTAGACAAAGGAAAAACTGAAACAGAAAATATTATTAATGACAGAACAAAGTTTTTATATCATTAATGAGATAGATGTTAAACTAGCTGACCTGGCAAACATTGTTTTGCCATATAAAAAGATTGGAGTTGGTGATAAAAATTAAAAAATTTTAGGTTGTATGTATTTTTTAATGCTACATTATAAAAAAAAAAAAATAAGTCCGAAAAAATAAAAAAAAGGGTGAACAACCCTTATCACTAATGGGTATGAAAAAAGATGTAGGACGATTCTCAGACCTACTCAATATGCTCACAAAACTTAATCAAAATCGCTCCAGCCGTTTCGGAGGAGTTCTCTGTCTAACACTGAGGAGACTGGTGAATTACTATCAATATTTAAGGAGCATACTCGGTACATGATTCTCATTCGAATTATGTAAAAAAATAGGTACTTAATTTTTGACCAAATTTCCGTATAAATAAATAAAGTGTGTACACGTTCCAAGTGTTCCAAGTGTGAACGCGTGCGGCGGCGTGCTGATACAACACTACGCCGCCAAACGCGTATGTGTGTGTGTGTGTATACCTAATCTGTAGGGTGTTCATACGATGCGTAATTAATTACATAACTTTTGGTTAACTTTACTTAGAAGTTTATTAATATTTATGTTATATTAATTTTTATTTTGTCATATATGATCGTCAAATATCACGTCCTCAAGTACCAGTCACCCTGTATAAAATGTATTGTGTGTTCATACGTCGCAAGTACATATATATATCCCGGATTTGTATCAAAACTAATAAATGGTCACGTGCGTATTTTTGGAGAAAGTGTGTGTTTGTTGTGTTATGTCAGATGTAATTTCCCATTTTAAGATGTTCTATTAGAAAAAATTATGAAAACATTTACGGTAGTTGAGATAAATATGAATCAATTTTACGATATTGAACTTGCCATTTGAACTTTCCTAAACTAAGTTTAGTTTTTGATGAAATATTGGATTAAAACATTTACTTACATTATCACCTGCTAGTTTTGTAAGTATATAAATTTCAAATTAATATGTGTCTTTTCATTTTTAACTAAGTTTATTAGTAATCATATTTGTGAACATTGTGTATTTATAACGGACAGTTTTTTTTTCTTTATATGGCTAGCAAATAAAAGTGAAATAAATTCAAAATTTTCAAGAATCAATTACAGTATGTATCTTAAAACGACAAAAATATTATATATGTACTTTGAGTCGTAACTAAGTTGATAGCCGTGGGTTATTCCTATATTTAACTTTTCAAAATTGTTTTATTTACGAATTAATTATAATAGCTATATAATTACTTCCCATTATGAAGAATATTTTGTTTATTTTTTAACTAGGTAACAGTTAATTGGGTGCAAAGATGATTCGTAGATGGTGCGCGTTCGTAGATAAGAGCTGAGTTTATATTTGATGGAGTGTTGCGCGCGCGGCAGTATGCCCCTCGCCGCCATGCCGGCCTGCGCGCCCGAGTACCGCCTCTTGCGATCAGCGACCGAGCTCGCCTTCGCCCCGCGAGTCAAGAGATGCTCGCACCAGCCACCCTTCACCGCTCTGAGGAGATCCTTCTCCTCAACCTTCTCCTTAATACCCGAGGAACGTGCCGTCCCACCTGAAAACACGCCGCCGCTCCAACGGTTCTTCCAAATCGTCACCTGGATCCCTCGTCAATTTCTACGGCCACTTTTCTTCATGTTAAGCCTGATAGCACACCCCGCTTGGAAACAAATACTGGTAGTGCTGCCCACCTTGTGGATCGCTGCGTCGCTGTTTATATTTTGGAAATGTGTTCAGTGTCCCATCGGTGTCTTGAAGATGATTGGAAAAGCTATATCGAGAAATACAGAGAAGCCTCGCACTGTGCTCATAAGTGGAGGTAGCACGGTGCAAGCCCTTCATCTAGCTAGAAACTTTCACTCTGCCGGTGCCAGAGTGATCGCTTTCGAAATTGAAGGGCAGTTTGCGTTACTGAAGTATTCTGCGGCCGTCCACAGATTCTATACAGTACCAAGGCCCAACCCAGCAGACCCGTTGGCTTACGCTCGAGCAGTAAAAGAGATCGTTGAGAGAGAATCCGCTGTGTTCTATATTCCGGTGAGTTCGACGACACCGGCATACTACGATGCACTAGCGAAGCCTCATTTGGAAGTGTTAGGATGTCAATGTTTCGTGCCCTGCGCAAGAGATGTAGTCACTCTGGACGATCCTTTGGAGTTGATGCGAGTGTGCCGCGCCGCTGGGCTCGCGACGCCGCTCTTCTGGGTCGTAACGAGCGAAGAAGACGTGAGATTGTGGTACGACAGTGGCGCTTCAAAGGAGGGAAGGCACTTTATCGCTAGCGCCGGCGCCCGGGGTGCTAGAGATAGATTACGGTTCGTAATGCCAGAAGAAAAAGCACAGTTCAGATTCCCGCGAGAAATTAGTGCCGAGAAGCCGTGGGTGATAGTAAGGGAACCGAAGGGTGAGAGGGTTGTGACTTGCACAACATTAAAAGAATCTCGTGCGGTGAATAACGTGACCTGTCGCGTGGACTCTTCAAAGAAAGGTCTCGTCCCACAAAGAGACGAGGAAGCTGACGCGTGGGTTCAAAGATTCATTTCATGTTTGTCGCCATCACGTCCGATGACCGGGCATGTGTCATTTAGATTGGTTCGCGAGGAGAGCGGCGCGAATAATCACACGAACAGGATGGTGGCGATAGGAGCTCGGGTCGGGGTGTCTCTGCCGTACCTCTGTCAAGGATCTAAACGCTGCGGCCATACAGCGACTGTTGGAAAGCTGTTGAACACCGTGCTAGATACACGCGAAGCGCTCTTTGCTTACTGGGATCCACTGCCGTATTGCGCGTATTATCAGTCCCGTTCACCGGACGAGAGGCGACCACCGCCGCCTGAGCCCTGCAAGACTCCTCCCAATGTTCCTCTCTGAGGGCCAGGAGCGTGGCCATGAAGATTATTTATTAAGACACTCGAGTACCTGAAGAGTGCGTGAGTGTGAGCTCCTCCGCGCGTCACCTGACACAAGTGACGCGGCGACGAGGACGATATGATTCTGTAACTACTAAGTAGATTTATTATAAAAATATATGTACGACATTAAGACTTCTCTGACATGTGAGATGATGAGATTGAATTTGTTTTTTAAACTATTTTGTAATATAAACGGTGTTGAATATATTATTAACTTTATCTGAGTCTTTTATACATTTCCGTCTTTTTAAACCTGTTATATAAATTCTATGAAGTTTCAGAATGTTATGACTAGAAGCGGAGAGCTTGGTTAGTTCCTATTGAATAACTCTAGATGTCACAAGTTCAAAACAATATGTAATGTACACACGGTAAATACTACGTAGTACTATGACGACTTGAGTAACTTATTTATATCTTACAGTCACGAACATATCCTACTTCTTAAAGGAATACGTGTATGATAATTTTTCAATATTACTATAATAAATGCATTTTAATATAATATTTGTCGAATTTTTCCTAATCGCTGTCAATATATTAAAATTACAAAACGATTTATCTATAATTAGATTTATACGACGAAACCGAAGTGTATTCGGTTTGAACAGCAAACATCAGTGTCATATTATTATGAGATAAGGTCTGAAACATGTTTTGAATTCCACTGCACTTTGTGATAGCATTATCATTGTCCGGGTCACCAGACACCGCCGGCCAAAGATCACACCTTTCTCGATCAATCGAAGAAAACATTAGTAACGAAAACAGAAAAGAGTTCCTATATCACTAATTGACAATTGACATCAACTGACAATTAGCTAAGTCGTTTAGAAACTGGTATAGAATCAATTTATACTTCATAATTAAAAAATAATTATTTTAATATTTGTATTTTTCCATGGAGTTTTTATATAATATTAAATTTATATATAGTTGGCTGAATGTGTGCGTGATTCACAGTCGTTACCCCGTGCGTGTAGGCGGGCGGGAGATGCTCTGTGCCGTGATACCGGCATGATATAAACGCATGTTACATTCATTTTGTATGTAGATTGTATGGATTTTGTTCCAGTATTGATATCACTCGTATAAATAAACCCTTGCAAGTTGATTTTGATGTTTTTCTTAGCATTTGAGTCAGATTCACAACTATTTAAATTGTGATTTAGAAATAAATGTTTTTCAAGTTTTGAGTCATATTCACAACTATTTAATAGTGATGTATAAATAAAAATATATTTGTAATTTATTGAAGAAGTTTAAAAAAAGTAATTAATTTTATAAGTTAATTAAATAAATAACGGAAATACGACTGCATCTATAAGTATAGTTGTCTTGAAATTGATCGCAAAACCGGGACTTTACCGGTCTGCGATTTTATGCTTGCTGATGACCTACTTTTCGTTAAACATTGCATTGATTTTCGATGTGATATAGATTTTTATCATGACAAATTTATGATCTTTTATACAGATAATAATAGGTATTCGTTCTGAAATCCTGCAGTGTTTGAAAAAACATCATAAATATTCTAAAAAGCACACAAACTGACAAAGTGCGTAAAATTTTTAGGCCAAAAAGTTGCATAAATAACATTAAATTATTTTGACGATATAAATAACACGAGGAACTTGAGTTATGTCATATAATAGGTCCCTGATAACTCCTAGTTCCTGTTTAGTAATAAATATATAAATGTATAATTTTGTTCATCTTTTACAACAATTAGATATAACAATACACTAAAAAAAAAGTTTTTTTATTTGACAACCCCATGATGAATAACTTGATCCTTAAATAAGGGTTTAACTTCTAAGATAATTTTATTAATATTCTAAAAACTATTTTAATTCAGATTAATTAAAAATTTCTCGTAAAAAATCGTAGGTTTTAAACGAAACGATCGGCTCGATATTTTCATTGTAACTTTTATATCTGTTTAAATAATTCGTTACAAGAGAAAATATAATATAATTTTATTAAAAATCTATTCAGTAAGATTATTTTACTGTTATTTTCAATAAAATTATATGATAATTGAGTTTTTGCATTTATGCGTGAGATTTTTTCGTATCATTTCCTATCATTTCCTTCACTCCTTATATCTGAGATTATCTTGCTAATTCTGTAGCATCCAGTATCTAGTGACCTCGGAATTATCATTCAAAATATAGTTTTAAAAATAAAAACTTTCATATAATGAGGGATATTCACATCTCGTCTGCTGATCACTGTTGCTGCAAAGTAACCGAAACGTCGGTAGTATGTAGTTTAATGTATTAAAAAACGCGTAGTAATCCGAAAATATTAGTTTCATTTAAAAACTTTCAGTATTATATACTTACTAAGCTATTTATTTCATATTTTGTTATTTTAGGAACTGATAAAAATTTAATTTAATATTTAATAATTCGACAATCACCTTCACGTTTTCTCCACAGAGTACTCAAGATTATAATTTGTCCAACAAATAAAAAAATTGATTTTGGCATAATATTAGACGATTCAAGTGCGAATGAAGCCATTACATAAAAAAATGTCAATAACCTAGTCAGAGATTTTTTTTATAGAAAATAATGCTTATTCCAAAATTCGGTTCACATTTAATGAAGACGAAGTAAACTAGGAAACAACAATAATAATTTAATTAAAACATATATAACCTCATTTTAAATGCAACAGTTCGGTTTAAAACAAATTAAATGTCATATAATTTCTGAACGATTGTTCTGGAAACTTAAGCAATAACTAGCAAGCTCATTAATAATAATTAATTATAAGATATACACTATTGGTTTGTTTATCAAGTGAAATTGACAAAGGAAGCTTATCCCTTGTTAATTCATGAACTTGTAACTTTCTTATCTTCTATTAATGGCGCCAATAATATAACGCTGAACCGATGGCTGTTTACGGAACAGATAATAACATTTAATGTGTATTTTTTAAATTAAGATCTGGATTTATTGAAACTGGAATTATGATATGCTGTCCCAATGTCAACCTTTTTTATTTATAGTAGGTACGACTTATACCTAATATAATTTTGAATAGTCTGTGGAGAAAACAGAAAGGAGTTCGTCTAATGAATAGTGGCGATTTTATTTATACAAAAATACTTAAATAATAATCTAGACAACTTGATTAAATTAAACATGAACCAAGTAAATTTTTTATAAACCAAACTTAAAAATACTCATCATTAATTTGTGCTGGTACATTATTATTTAATATTATTTTCTATATTGACCTTTTAAGGCCTGGATATTTTCAAAAGTTTTTGTCAAAAAGCTATTTTAAACCATTGCAAAGTCTCCATGTAATATAAAAGACATTTTTATTATACGAATTTAAGTCACATATACGTATATATGCATAGCTACATATGCAAATAAAATGGTACAGGCCTCCTGACACAGTTAAGTACGTCAAGGTAAAACTGGATGGATGGCAATGAAGCATGGCTCCATCTTTATTTAATACTAGCTTTCCGCCTGCAGCTTCGTCCGCGTGGAGTTCGATTATATCGCGTTTCCAAGAGAACCTTTCAAAAGTCCGGGATTAAAACTATCCTATGTTCTTTTTCAAAGTCAACTCTATCTCTGTACCAAATTTCATTAAAATCAGTTTAGTGGTTTAGGCGTGAAAGCGTAACAGACAGACAGAGTTACTTTCCCATTTATAATAGGTATTAGTAGGGATCAATATAGAGAAAAAAACCGTTTTAATGATGACCACGTGTACAATGATGTTTGTTTTATTTCGCGTAGGTAAGTTTTCTTGAAGTATATCATAATCTAATGTGTGTAGATTTATATAAAAATAATCATAATTAATTCAAATCTACGTGGATTAAAGGAAATAATACGAGTAACAATCAATGTTTATTACGTCTCAATTATATTTAAATGTTATAATATTTTTACATCGCCAACACACGTGCTTATTAACAATTAAAATAATTGTTATCGTTAAACAAATTTTTGAACGAATGCGTGGCTCAGTCAGACGTCTGCCGCGTGTCTGTCAAAGTCTAATCAAATTGAAAACAATTAAAAATACACTCTATTAATTAGTTTTTAAGATATATTTTTGTTTAATCTGATTATTTTAATTAAAAAGACAAATTCTTATAATAAAAATAATTATCTGTAAACACAACAGTAATGGCCGCTTGCATTGATTTGTAACTTTCTTTGTAATATCTTGTTTACATTACAGATTACGTAATTTATTACTATGCGGATGTACTAATTAGTTTTGATTCACATATTGGTGCTTTCTTCGTCCTATTTTTCCTTTTGTAATTAATGAATGACGAAACATTTTAATTTATAAAATAAGTATGAATCATTCTTCCTACCTTATATTCAATTATGACGAAAGAGTTGTGAATAATATTTCAGCATTTTTTGAAATAAACATTCTTTTATATTTCATTTATTCTTTTAGATTGTCAATACTTATTCCTTTTTACTTTAACGAGGACTCAAGTATTGAAGGCAAATCATATATGTAGAGTTTTTCAATCAAAAATCAAAATATCGTTTAAACTGCATACCAATTCAGTGTCAAAAAATATAACATTTTCAACAATTATGTCAAAGAATTAATGTTTTAATTCATACAATAATTGTCATACTTATATTGCAAGCTTAAGTATTGTCTAAACTAATACACAATAAATTAAAATTGGCAACATCATGACAATTTTCTCTAATAATTAATTTATTTTCTATACAAATGTTTCCTATAAATGGTATAAAACCTATTGCCAGTACATTGTATGGAGAGCGCGTGATTGGAAGCAACCTGTTATCATGTGACCCAGGATGTGTAGACGAGATAAGGTTGGAAATAACCAGAACTAATTAGGTGAAGAGGTGTGACGGAACTGGATAATAGCTAACAGACATACATATATAATAGGGTTCCGGTAATAAAGGGAAAAACGGTTTACCTGTTAAGAAAGATTGCAGTCGTTGACAAAGATGAGCTACTTCTATGAGTGCTAAAAACGAATATTACAACAGATTAATATTTATATTTACTTAGGAGGGTTTAAATATTTCTTTTTACGTAGTGGTACGGAATCATTTACGAAAGCAAATTTTTTTACTTGGCTGTTTTTTGTGGGGATATAGGTTTTTAGACCTGCGTAATTTTATTATAAAAGATATATATAAAATGTATTGATCTTTCCTGTTTTTTGAAATGTTTTAAATAAGATAGGTTTACAAATTATTCGTAACTATGAAGTGAAAGTTACAATTAAAATTAGTTTTTATTGAAATAATTTTATTTATATCACTGAATATATTGACTGTTTTGTATAATTAAAACAACTTTTTAACTTTAAATCATTTTTAAAATTAATATTTATTGTTATAAAAATATAACTAGGTCTTTTTAAAAAACGCCATTTTTCAATTCAAAGGACTCCGAGTTTTCTCCACATAGCATTCACAATTATATATCATTCAACAAAAATACGTTGACATTGGCAAAATATTCCACGATTCCAGTGCAAATGAAGCCATAGCATAAAAAATAAAGAATTATATAAGAATAATTTCAGTATAGTCTGTAGTAAAAATCGGAATGCAATAAAATAATCAGTTAATCTGTATTTGAACCAGTTTGTTAATCTGTCGTGATATACTATCTTCGCCACGTGACTCTACATACACTTCGTATTGTACGTGTGTAAGGAAGTCATTACCTATCTGTTCATTTATCGATGGTACCTACTTTAATGGTCACCGTCCAAGGTTGTTTTGTTTGTTTTTTGATTGTTTACATCGTGTTTACGCAAGCATAGCTGGGGGATAACTTTATAGTACACAATGGTTTAAACTTTTGAGTACAAAATGTTAGAAATCGGTGGAAATTTGAAATAGGTTTTAATTTATTCAGTCTGGAGTCAATCGCTGTTTTACAAACACTTAAGAAAGTCTTAAATAAAGTTTTTTTTAAGTTAAACTGATAGTTCTTTCATATTTTGCTGGCACAAAAAGTATTAATAATTATTATAATATCAATGTCTTTTCATATTAATTTAATGTAGTTAGTTTGTTTAATGGAAAATAGTATTCATTTTTAGATATTTTGTTTAAGTAATTAAAATGTCGCAGGTATGAGGTAACATGGCTTACGTCACGTATTGATCGTTATAGTATGAAGGACAGAAAATATGAATTATATATATTATACTTATACTTTGAATATATAGTCTTAAAGATAATAATTCATAGAAAACAAATTACAATGAGTAATACCTTTTTACTTTCGATATACATTCTTTAAGTTTACCACAAGTTCGTATCCCAATACTGTATTCGAAGTGTTTTCAGTCTTGACGTTATAAACCTAGGTTTATAAGAAACATTTGCTTATATGTAGTTACATAAATTAAAAACTTTAGACGCTGCGTACGTAGTTTGATAAGACAAACCTATGGTAAAACTATATTGTATAAGGAAAATGAATTTTCCTAATATAATATTTAAAGAATATTTATTTTATTTATATATTTAGTTTTAATATATATTTAGTTCCATTGATGTTGCTGAAACTCGTGGAAAATTCTCTAGTGAGTGCATTGCCACCAGACGATCAAAGTCCGTGAGGCCAGACGTCTTGACCCAAATATACAATGATTGTAAAACTATACAACATACATACATATACATTATACATACTACAGATAATTATACAGTATGTTGTTATTGAAATACATGAAATATATTTCTCTTGTATAAATTTAGTTGGTGATAACGTAGTATCTACGCCGTAGCACGGACCGTAGATTTAACGATAATGTACGAAAAATCTTATATGTATGAAAATTATCTCTAAATATTAATATTTAATGAATTGTAAAAGTATGTTTATCTAGTAGTATAGTGATTCATATGAACAGTGTATAGTAATATATATTTTGATGTATGGGTTCAACGAATGTACGGTCTAGACATCTAAGGCCATCTCTTAACTACCTAGTGGTTATCAGAAGGACTGTACTTATATATATGTAGGAGCACACACACACACACACACATGCATATGTATATATATATATATATATATATATATATATATATATATATATATATATATATATGTTTCTTCATACTTTACAATGTAGAAAAAACTATCTTTGCTAGTATTGTATCATTTTAGGTATATAATTTTGTTAAGGTTATAATTCATATAAGAATATACGGTAAGAGGACAGGTTTATGTATAAAAAGCTTTTGAGGTGGTAGAGCCTAGCTGTGGTCAAGTTACTGCAGCTCGAACATTGGCTGGCTCGAGGAGGAAGTAACCTTCTCACAAAAGTTTAATCTGACAATTATATGTCTGTTTCCATTGCTACAATTTCGCCCCATAGTATTCCTCAGAGTATTCGTTCTTCATAATTCTATAAATGTTTAAAAATAAATAATAATTAAAACCTTTCTAGTATATTTGAAGTGACGTTATTTATGACAACTTTGATACTAGCTTACTTCTTAAGGTCACTCTGAAATTTTCAGATTATTGAGATATAATCTTCGTTATACAATTAATCAACCTTTTCCTAAGGATCGTTTTTTTTTACTTATCAGACGTGTTTCCTTTATACATCTCAGCATATGAAGGGTTCATACTTGATAGAGGTACATTAAATGCTGCAAGGATGTTGCCTAAATAATTTCCTAGCAGGCCCGAGTCACTTCAAAAAACTCGCTTGGGCTTCCCTACTACAATGTGTTAGCGAAAAGGTGTAAAATTTAATCAATAAACTCAATAATAGATGGCGTTAATGTCACACGTATTAAAATTGACCTACTAAGCTAATGATAATGTATAAAATGAATACAAAGCCTGAAAATAATGGTTTTTATAAGCAAGAATGTGCCAGTGACTTGCGATTCTATAAACTATTCCGTACTAGTATACTATAACGTATCGTAAGACTCGTACGTCTTACGATTTTATAAAGAAAATTGAGTTTAATATAGTACATATAAAGAATATTCCTTAATTGGTCATGTCAAAAACATGTAAATCTATTAATAGGCCAAGATCTAGGCTACCTATAGACGAAGAAACGATTAGGCTGTGGAATCTATCTAGTAACGAAAATACAAGCGATCAAAAAACAAAAGATGAAGCAACGAAAACTGAAAGCAAGGATCGTAATTTTGGTGAAATAGAGAAGGACATAACACTCGAGGTAATGAAGGAAAAACATTCAATAAACAAACAACAATTGGCTCAAAACATTACAACTTCGATAAAAGAAAAATCTGACAACAAAAACACAATTAAATCAGAGCCCTATGCTGTTCATCTTAAAGTCGGTTATGGAAGGGATGATGGGACTGTCATTACAAGTAATGCGGATGTCGAAGACACATCAAATCCAAATGAAAATCGCGATGGGGTTGGTGAAAGGAATTTGGACTCTATTATAAGTATGAGGAAAGTCGATTTTTGTGGAGTAGAGGCTGATAGCATCAGTCACGCGAGCGGTCTTCGGATGGGGCCAGGTGGTGCACTGGCACTGTGGAGCTTGAATAGGAACAGTAGCGCGGCGGGCGCCGGAGTAGGCAGCCTACAGACGGAGGAAATGCCGGTGAGTAACTCAAACACACGTAAAGCTGAGATAATATAAGAATAGGACATATACATATGTATAAATCTGTTAGCAACACATAAATTGCCTAATTGCAAAAAGATTTATGCTTCGATTGCCCAATTGCAAAATGATGCAATTCAATGAATGCAATTCTTTAAGTGTTAGACACTCACTTTATTAGATTTATTTTAACAAATAACAAAATATATATGTGTGTGTGTGTGTGTGGATCTAATATTCATAATAGAAAATACAACCACATTGATCTGTTTAAAAATAGTTTAAGTAAATTTTATAATCTTGTGAAAAATACTCATTAGTAATCAATTAATAGTTGTATTTTGGGTTATATCAAAATTAGTCCACTTCCCTGTAAAAACAGTCATGGAAACTTAACTGGCATAAGTGTTAAAATATGATTATTATATTAAGTTGTAATATACGATATGCTGTAGGTTTCCCTAATAATAAACAAATAAATAAAATCTAACGCGTTACTATCAACACATTTGATAACGAGTTAAAAAGATATTAGATTTTTTCTTTAAACCATCGCTCATAATTCATAATTTCTTTTAACAATCGTGAAAAATTTTTCACTAATACCAGTGACATTATTTAAGTATTCAATTTAAAAGGAGTCGAAATATTCTTTAACAAAAAACAGTAAAATTATATTAATAAAAGTTATGATTTTAAAGTAATTTTTAAAACATGGTGAATCAATGTTGGATGGATGGTTTTACACCGTCCAATCGCGGGGTTAGGGCGGACTACAGGCTATTAGGTTGTCAAAACTTCCACTGATGACTTTCAACGGTTTTCCCCCGTATAAGAACAACACTATTGCCGGTTATGTAAATCACTATCATAAATTGATAGGACAATTTATTCGAAAATCGTAAACAAATTTCTAGGAACTACAAACGATAAAATGGAAGGATTAACTTTATATTTTAAATAGTTTTCAGATTCTATTTCATCTATTGTTATAACGAATAATTTAATAATAATATAATTAGCTAGAAAATTTAATTGTTATTCTTTTAAAGACATATACACAGTCTTTTAAAGTTAATTGATACGCTGAATTTGATAAAGGCATAACTTTAAAGCAAATTTCGTGATGGCGCGGGCTCGATACCCGGCAAAAGTACCAATAGGATTTTTCCAAGTCATATGTACTTTCTAAGAGTATTTAGACACCACTGACAGACGGTGAAGGAAAACATCGTGAGGAAACCTGGACTTATATTTTCACAATTATAAGTTTAAAATCACCAACCCGTCTTGAGCAAGCGTGGTGATTAATGCTCAAACCTTCTCCATGTGAGAAGAGGCCTTTGCTCAGCAGTGGGCTCTGATAGGCTAATGATTATAACTTTAAAATATAAATGCAAAGCAACAAGAAAAAATTGTTTGTTTCAATTTCTTATGATAAGAAATCATATCGAAGAGAAAGTGATAAGGGTCTTAAAAATATAACGATTTAAATGTATTTTTGAAGATTAAATTATTGATTGTTATTTGTTAGCGTTAATTATGTGTTATTTTGATAGAAATCGGTTGCTAATTCACATTTCTATAATAAAAACTGTACTGCAAAACAATAACTTCGTTAAAACTTTACGAATTTACTAAAAGATTTTGAATATATGACACATCATGTTAATGTGGTTTGTCAAAATTAAAATTCCAAATTTAAATATTTAAAAAAAAATCACAGATTATATTAAATTACGTAATAATTATTCTCTATAATAGTGTGTTATTATATTTAATAGACGAACTCACCTCGTTATCAATAGTTTATTATAAATTTATCTATGACCGTGAAATGTTATTTGTCTAATTGGCTGTATGCGTACGACCCGGATCGGAACTGTCAAGATATATAAAAAAAAATACTGGAATATTTCCCTCGTAAATTAGGATGCGTGACAAATAATGTTATTCTGTTATCTTTCCTTTTACTATGTCTCGTCATACATATTTATTTGATTTCCATATGTAGTAATCTAATTGAATTATAAGGACAGTTTGATTTAAAGACGGAATTAAGATTCAGGATAAATAAAACTCTTCTTAGTTACAACATTTTTTTATTTATTGTTCACTCTCCATTATAGTATAATTACTTGTTTTATTAAAAATATTTCAATTCAATTTACTTTTATTTCATTTGTTTTTTTTAGTTAAAATTATTATAAGATTCATTAATATTAACTACTTAGGGGCCATCCATAAAATACGTCACACTAATTTCACGAGTTTTTGAGCCCTCCCCCGTCCTTGTCACAGGTGGTCACATTTCTGAGACCCCCCCCCTCCCTAGTGTGACGTCACATGTTTTGCAATTTAACATCGAAAAATTATTAAATTAAAACAGCAGTTCCGAAATTAGTTTTATTTCCATTTAAAATAAGTACTTTTTTAAGAAATCAACATATGTAGTATCAAATATTTGAAATAATAAATAAACTAATGAATATATACAGGGTGACTGGTGAATTACTATCCATACTTGAGGACGTGATATTTGACGATTATATATGACAAAATAAAAATTAATATAACATAAATATTAATAAACTTCTAAGTAAAGTTAACCAAAAGTTATGTAATTCATTACGCATCGTGTGAACAGTCTACAGATTAGGTATACACACACACACACGCGCGTTTGGCGGCGTGGTGTTGTATCAGCACGCCGCTAGCACGCGTCCACACTTGGAACACTTGGAACGTGTCCTCACTTTATTTATTTATACGGAAATTTAGTCAAAAATTAAGTACCTTTTTTTACATAATTCGAATGAGAATCATGTACCGAGTATGCTCCTTAAATATTGATAGTAATTCATGTGATGACGCGCTCAGTTTTAAAGATTTTAATTAATATTTCAAATTACGCCATTAGTAGCTCTAGATTTTGAAATGTGATGTCACGAAACTTAGGACCCCTCCCACCCCTTGTCACACCATGTCACACTTTGTCGACCCCCTCCCACCCCCTTTACGTGTGACGTACTTTATGGATGGCCCCTTAGGATGTATGCATTAAATCCTTTACAAAATACAATAATTTTATTTTTATGGCAGAATATTCGATTGTCATTATAAAAGAGGCTAAAAAGGACTCGTATCCAAAGCCGTAAAAACATTTACAAAAAAAAAACATTACACAAGTTCTTAATCTAGGTATTTTAATTATTAATACTCTAAGCGTGGGTCACTTCCTACGACATGTGACAAACCCCAATGTACTAATTATCCCTAATTCATTATAATATAAATCTTTTTATTAAAGTTCATATCAAAAATCCACGGACACGTGAGGTTTGACAATGTGACAGAATATTTCGTCATATCTTCTTGATAGAAATAAATTTTTGTCTTGGACTTTGCACTCAGATTGTAAACGTTAAATATTATTATTGAATATTATTTTAATAAAATATTTATTCATTAATTATTTGAAATGATGTATATAGTATGATAGGTTGAAAATTAGCGAATATTTCGCTGTAATTTCATTATAAAAACGTCCTATACTAATATAAAAAATATTTAAGATCTTCAAAGTTTAGACGTACTTCCAAAGCTAAGCTAAGCTAGCTGTTTTTTAGAAAATGATCTATAATATAATATTATTTTGACCATTGCAGTAGTACTTGACTATTAGAATATTAATTAAATTCTAGAATACAATAAATTCTTTACAACGATTTTCGTTCAAATATATGCGTGTTGATCTAAGTGTTTAAGTTATTGAAAAACGTCGAAGTGATACCTCGTATATTGAAGTTATTTTTTCTCAAATGTACAGCAGATATAATATAGTTTATTACTGATTGTTTTTATAATGTATTTTTTGTAATCTTATAATACGATCGTATCTGTTGGTAATAAAGCTATTTAATCCGCTACCGATTTAGAATCACATGCAACTAGCGATAGCAGTATTTTCATTGCATATTTAAATCAAAATCAAAACAATTGGCCAAAAATTTTTATTAGACTTAACCGTTTATGGGTCAGATGTTTGAAACATTTTTTCAAATAATGTCGATTTAAAACTTATTTAGCCTATGCACCGTAACTGACCTCTGCTTGCTATTTTTTAAGTTATAGGGTACTATTTTTAATAAAAAGCTTATGCTTATATGTATACATGCCTTTAAGGGAGGACACAGTTTTTTCACACACATAAATAAGTTGAGATAAATATAATAACAGTACAATTAAAAGAACGCTAGATGTTTATTTGTTTATGTCTGTGACGTCGTATTAGAAATATGGCGGATAAGTGTACGAAGAAATCACATTTTAAAACTTTCCTATCCATTTATTTTTAATAGAATGGCTTAAATTTTAATGAAAATAAAAAAGAATTCTTCGATACGAGTTACGCGTTCTTAAGAAAAGGAAACGACGGTATCATGTAAATATAATATAGTAAAGAAGATTATTTGAAGAACTGAGTCTCATTTAAATGTATACAACAATCTCAGATATAAAATAAGCATCTTCCATAGACGTCATTGATTAATATCATCAGCTCCTCTACTCCAATCTCTTCCTGTCAAATCTCCAACGTCTCATCATGCTTCCAATCTAAAGAGCATTCCAAAATTCGTTGACAATTTTAAAATTAAAAGAAATATCGAAATCCTACCTGAAAAGAGATCAAAACGCACGAGTTTAAAAAAGAAATGTAATATACAATCTCCTTCGTTTGAATTTTGCTTTATTTGCAAAAAAATAATAATAATCAAAACATGATTTATCATTACAAAATATTTTCTATAAAAAAATCACAGTTCACTCAGTTTACGTATAAATCATTATACTTTACGTTATAAATAAACTACAAGAGTGAATAAAGATTAAGTAATAGTTGGATTTTTTTTTATTATATTTTATTTGACTGATTAAAAATGACATGAAATTAAACTTTACAAAGTAAAAGTTTTTAATACTCGTCATCTACTTAA